GAGACTTGATCTGCCCCCAAATCACTTAAAATCATAAGTCTGATTTTCACCCACAGACTACACCACAGCAATCATTGGTGCATGGCTTAGCAGTGGTGAAAAAACACTGATCCAGGGCATGGAGCCTCATGTATCCATGGTTTTTATATAGAATCACTCCAGAACTACTGTGTAATCTGCCCCACTGCAAAGACAGCTGTTTGTTCCTCACGTAGGCTATGTGTCTCATCCTTCTCTTGACTTTGACCTCATACCTCAGGCTTTACCATTTACCTTCCTCACGCTTTTGGCATTCTCATGTGCCAAAACAATCAGTATCGCAAGTGAGTTAAATTAAATGACCACCCAGTAAAATACCTCCGTTTCCAACAACAAAAAAGCATGCTTCCTGTAGGAAAAAAAAATCAGAGATTCCATGTGCATTATGTAATCACCGTTTTAAGAATTTGGTTTTAAACATGCTAAAACCAATTCGAATATAGTTTTCTCCCCCAGTGTAACAACACTCTCAGTTACAATTATATGCTGAGACTTGTACATTAATTCAATTGTTACGTGAAAAAGATAATGATGCACACACACATACACCCGTCTCTTTCCTTTCAGAAAGCAACAGTCTGAATTGTTTGATATGGAAGGAAGGATTTTGGGAAACCTGCATGAGTAGAGCAGTCTCTCCTCTCCTAGAAAATGACTTATCATGATGAAATCACCGGTGGAGAATGATGGGGATTTTGCCCTCTCACTGCAAATGCTCTCCATGAGCATTAATAATGATTGCTTAGGGCTGAGGTTGATAGAAAAGGCTGCCAGAAGTTAGTAATGAAATGAATGTCTCATTTTAAAGATTTGTCACGTTTTCTACTTCCTGACAAAAGAAAGGCTGTCTTTATGGATCAAGACACAGTGGGGGGGGGAGCCTCAAATTCTTTGAGATTTTTCATTTCTGCATGAGCACAAAAACACTAGCATTTTTTGGTCACCAACATTATTGGGAGAAAAGTAGAGTTTGTACATACAAAAAGTATTTTATGCAAAAGGCTTGCATTTTAAAAATCCTTTGTGTTTTGCAAAAAATGTAAGAGGACTTTGTGCAAAAGCACTTCTGCTAATTGTTTGCAAAAAGTGCTGGAATGTGAAAAATGCACCAAAACTTGCTCATCAGAAAGAGAGAGAATTTTTTTCCCTGTGAGAACAGAATAAGCAAAGATTTATATCCCTATTCTTACTAGTTCAGTTTAGAAAGTTGCCAGTGGCCCCTCAGTAGAGATGGGGGTATTCGTATATGAATACAAATATCCCCGCACAGCTGGACTTAACAAGTCCACTCATGTGTTCTTCGGCGGCGGCGGCGGCGGCCTTGGTCAACCTTCCAATTGCTCGTGGAGCGCCACTCTCTTTCCGCTCATCTAGTCCAGCTGTGTGGGGGTATTCGTCTTCATATATGAAGACGAATACCCCCATGTTTATTCCTCAGTAACCTTCAAGAATTGAAGTCTTCCTTTTAAATCTGTCGAGGCTCCCTGACAGGATGTAGAAGCCTGCAAATCAGGGTTCTGCCTTGTACAGGGGAGTCTCTTGAATACACAATTGTCCTTACTCTCCATTTCATGGCTTCTCCTTGAATGTGAGCAGGCTGGTGAGCATGGCAATGTGCGAACAGCTGCTGTCTGTCCTTGCTCTCTTTCCTGATAGTGAGATTTAAAGCCCGCGCCAAAGACAGAGCAGCTGCAGGAAGTGTGTTGCAAATGCAAAAGGTACTGAGAGCCTTGTTGTTAGGTGGGTAGAAAAGACATACCTTATTTACATACACATTATAGGTAACTGACATAACTTTCACATCTTGGTATAAAGCTGATAAGCATGCTGTGCTTCTTCTGTATTTCAAAATGTAAGTGTAAAAAACATGGCAAATCTTTCTGTATTTTGGCAGTACAGTGGTGCCTCAACTTACGAACATCCTGATATACGACCATTTTGAGTTGCGACCAACTCCGGCCACAGAATTTTGCTTCAACTTGTGACCAGAGCTTTGAGTTGCAAACAAAAGAGGCAGAGAAAAAAGGCAGGGAATTTTTTCCCCCAGCCCCATCACATTCGAATGGGGCTGCCTGTGTGTGTGTGTGTGTGTGTGTGTTTAATTACTATTATTTTTTTCCCAGCCCCATCGCATTCCGATGGGGCTGGCTATGGGTGTGTGTGTGTGTGTTTTTGATTTTTTTCCTCAGCGCCATCGTGTTCCAATGGGGCTGGCTGTTGGGGTGGTGGTATGTTTTTTATTTTTCCCCAGCCCCATCATGTTCTGATGGGGCTGGCTGTGTGTGTGGGGTGTGTGTTTTTTTTTTTTTAAATTCCCAGCCCCATTGCGTACCGATGGGGCTGGCTGTGGGTGTGGGGTTTTTGGGATTATTTTTCAGCCCCATTGCGTTCTGATGGGGCTTGGAGTGTCTGGGGTTTTTGTTTTACAGTATTTTGTTTTTTGTTTTTGGTGTTGTTTTTTGTCTGAAACAGATTAATTGTGTTCCAGTGCATTCCTATGGGAAATGGTCCTTCGACTTACGACCATTTTGAGTTACGCCCATCTTCTTGAAAGGATTATGGTCGTAAATTGAGGCACCACTGTATATTGTTATATAATTCAATGATAACTAAATGTCTAGGAAGGAGTCCTAAGAATTATATTTGATACATACCCTACAAATATAACAGGATCTTGTTACCTGTGCAAAACTGCTGTGAAAGCAATGAGTGTCATGTGTAAATTATGATCATATTCTAGCTTAGTCAGGGAATATAGGTTCTGTTTTCTGATGCATGCAGAAAGTAGGCTAATTGGATTAACTTGTCTAGAATTAAACTCTCTTCTTTTGTTGTCCTAAAGCTTCTTCTGGTGGCTTATTTCTAAAGTAATGATTCATTTAACAGTTGCACACACAGTATCCTTATGCTCTTCGTACTTCTTTGTAAAGACCCCTAACAGTGTCTTTTCATGTGTCTGAAATGTATTCTGTTTTTTCCTCATGTTGTTTTTCATGATAACAAATCCTAGATGAATTGATTAGTCTGTAAATTTCTGTTAATGTCAATGGATATCATAGTTCAAATAATCCTGATATGAAAGGGTTCAGAGAGTATTTCTTCTTCATGTAGACACTGCTGGGTTGACTTTAATCTAATTACTAAAATAATTTCATGTCAGTTTCTTTGGCATCTGCAATGAAACTAAGCCCTAGAATCTCGTACACTTTTGTAAATTGCTACATTGACTTAAATTGGGGGGGGGGGAGGGAAACTGTTTAGAAGCGTTTGTTGAAATTATTATTATTCATAGTCATATATAAATTGGTGCATTGAGTTAAACTGTGGAAAAACAGAGCTTTAGAAATGATTTTAAAATTAATTTTTATGGAAGTAATAGAGGACGTTTGAGGAACCTTGACTGACCTTGGTTGAAAATAAAAGAAGAAGGCTGCTGTGATGTTTCTGTGGTGAGGAAACTAGGCTGTGAAGGGCCTGTAGAAGTATCATAAAGCTCCCTTGGGTCCATTTAGAATTTTCTGGCCACAACTTTCTTTAAGACTTTATCAGTAGATGCTCTTGCATCCCTCTCTAGCAAATGTGAAGGTTCTTAAGAGGAAAAAAGAGGATATAATAATTGTGGAGAGGATGGAAATGAGGATTGACTTTAGAGGTAGGCAGGAATTTAGGAAATCTGAGCAGAATTCCCTGCAGAAAAGCAGAAGACTGAAACAAGACCCAAAAGGCCTCTGAAAGAAGGTTTCTCATTTTGAGCCCAGCATCAAGGGCAAGATCTGCCTGTAGCAATATTTTAATGTTCAGTGGTGCCCCGCTAGACGCTTACCCCACATGACATCAAAATCGCTTGATGATGACATTTTTGCGATCGCTATTGTGATCGCAAAACAATGGTTCCAATGGGGGGAATCCACTTTACGTTGATTAGGAGCCTGCTTCGCGAACCGTTTGTTCACAAAACAATGTTTTTTCCGGCTCTGCAAAATGGCTTCCCTCTGCAAAATGGCTTCCCTCCCTTCTCAAAATGGCTGCTTTCCGGACGGAAGCTTCACATTACAGCGATTTAGAACAGCTGATCGGCGGTTCTCTGTGGGCAATCTTTGCTGGACGGTGAGGTATTTCCCCCATTGGAACGCATTGACCATCAATGCATTCCAATGGGGATTTTTTTCCCTTGACGACGATTTCGCTTAACAGCGATTTTGCTTGAACACATTATCGTCCGCAAGCGGGGCACCACTGTTCTTCAGATTCCAGGGCCTCTACGAACGTTTTAGGCTTTGGAGAAGGTGGCGGGAAAACCCCATTGCCCTCTTGTCTTCTTCAGCTCTTTTTAAAAGGGGATTTAATTTTTCTCTTCTTTATCTTGTCAGCCTCTTGAGCCACCTGTGAATGGCCATGTTAAGTGCAAATCATAGACAGAACAGACCTGAGTGGAACCAGGAGATTTTTGTGGCTGTTGTATCCCTTGCTGGAGGAGAAACAGTAAAGCTTCTGATAATTTTGTCCTCTTAGCCTTCCATGACATAGACTTTTGTTTTCTTAAGGACAAGATCAGCTTGAACAGGTGATCTTGTCAATGTATAGTTGTCAGTGACAGAGTATGTAATCATGTGTGTAGATACACAATGCTTTTTGTTTTTGTTCAGCATAGAGTTGAAAGAAATATTGTGATCGCCAAGAGGAAGTTTTCAAAATTTACCATGCATAGAGTTTTCTATGTACGTAGGTACAGTATTCTGTGGAATGCGAGAAGCCATGTTATGGGAAGAACTTTGGCGTTCTTTACATTTATGAACAGTGGTGCACATTTACCCTTACTTAGGTGAAATACACTTTTAAATATTGGTACAGTATTAAAAGATATGTTTGTATAAAATTAAAATTTTAAGGTGCTGCTGATTGATTCTGAAATGCTATAATGGATCCATGTCCAGCACTAACTACATTGTTTTTCCTTGCAGAAATATTCTTTTGTAGCACTTCTAACTGATGTTTTGGAAATTGAAATCAAAGATAAATTTGCCAAGAGTCGGCCAATCATCAAGCGCTTTCTTGGGAAGCTCACCATACCAGTTCAAAGACTGTTGGAAAGGCATGCAATAGGGTAAATAAATATACTTTTGTTGTTCATGTTACTTTAGCCAAGAGTAAAAGTGTTCTCCTATAACAAAGCCTAATGGTACCACATAATTGATTGCTTTACCAGGAAGCTAAGAAGCCTTTTTCTATTCTTCTTGTTTGACATGAATTCATGTTATCTCAAAGGTTATGTTTTTGTCTTGCATTTACTGTCAGGCTCTTTCTCTCAATACCCCCATGTATTAAGTATTGAAAGCAATAATTTTTCTTTTTATTGGAATACACTGAGTTGTCAGGCATAGGTTCATACAGTAGTGTGCAAATTTACTGTGAATGTTTTGGTCTTGTTACTTTTACAACTCAAAAATGCCCAACTACCCCAACCCCATTAATAAAAAAGATGCAACTAATTTTATGGAAGATGAAGGCAACACTAATTTATCTACAGAATCCAACGTGTGTCACATTTTTCTGAACGTTTTGCCACATTTACATTATATTCTCTAGTGAACAGCTTGTTAAATGGATAAAATTTGTTTGGTTCTTGAATGCCTAGCAGTGCAGTAAGAGACTGAAGCACTTAGTAGTCTAAAAGTTTGATGACAAAATACACATAATAGATGTGCTATAAATTTGTATACAAGGTTAGGCAATACAGTATATTAAAATCAATAGGCCACGTTTAAGTTATATTACATTTTGGGGGGAAAGAATACAGGCCTTAGGAGAAAAATGAGCCATCGTGTTTTTCTGAGACCTTACAATACAGAAGCTGAAATATACTACCCAAAGTATTTTGATAAATAGCAATGACAGCAATCAAATAAGTGAAGATTCTAATAAAAATGGAGCTTAAGTTCCCTGAGGACTTCCATAATTTGTCTAGTAAATGTGGCACCAGCATTTAAAAAAATACCTTGCAAAGGTACTTCTCTCCACACACCCACACACCCCATAGTTTTTCAGTACTACATTGTCTGGTGCCATTTCTAATTCTCTGTTGGAGTGAAGAGTGTCCATAGGGAGATTGGTATAGTAGTCTCCAATATCAGGTGCTGTTTCAGCATCTTGGATGCACACATTTCTTCTGGGAACATATCTAAGATTCCCGCTGTGTCTTAAGCAGTTTCTGGGTTGCATCCAGGAGACTGATTATATTAGGAAAGTTACCCCATGATTTATTTAAAAGCAGCTTTCAGTGAGACCTATACAGGGAGAAATTACTGTTGACTGGGGCCAAATAGGTGCACAATCCAAATTGTGGTTTTTTTGTTTTGTTTTGTTTGGCTTCAGCAGGTTGTTGGTCCTTTCTGGTGGGAATATTTTATTTCACACAGTGACCTAGAACATTCTGAAGTCTGTGGAATATTTTGAGTTAACTGCAATAGCCATTCAATCAAACTGATAATAGAATTATTTTTTTTAAAGAGCCTACCTTCAATTATGTGAAGTTTGTGGTTCATCACAGTGTTGTCATGCTATTGCATGACTATCCAGAATTAAATCAGCTTGTAAACAAATGGCCTCCTTTTTCACAGATTTCCCCACCAAATAAACACGTTGCATAAATGGAGAAAGACAAATTCAGTTTGAAAACAATTGTCAGCTTTTCCCAAGGTGGTATTCATGCAGGTAAGCAAAATATATTGCAGATTTAACAAGACAGATCAGGCTGTTTTGCCTGTGCTTGGCTGACAGGAAAGTCCTGTTGGACTAGTTAATTGTTTTTTTTTAAGTTTTGGATGAAGAACATCCATGCTTGTTTTCCAAGCCCTGATTAGAGTTTGAGAATAAATATTAATGTTCCTGAGGACTACTGATTTTTTAACATAGAATTAAGCATTCATATAATTGACAGTAGTGCTAAAATGTCATCAAATTTGAAATTGAGATGTAGTTGTCAAATAGAAGTGCTTTTAATAAATTTGCACACTGCTGGATGACAGAATATCATCCTTACCATTCCAGGCATCTTTGGAGATATTATAATTCATTAAATTTTTCTAAAGACCCAAATGCTCATCTTCCTTCTCTTATTTATTTAATTATATATTTATTGCAATTTTTAAATGCTGCTTTTCTCCTGGTAAAGGGACTGTTGCAATCCACAAACATAATGTTCTTCTCAAGTGCCAAGTGAGGGCAAGTGTACAAGTTATGGCTGCTGTCTGGAGACCATACTTAAGTTTTTCCAAGTGACACTTTCCATTTCAGATTGAGTGACAATTAGAGATGGGCATGAATCTGAAAAATTGTGAATTGTTTTGGTTTGTGATTTGTCAAGATTGAAAAATAACGAATTACAAACTTTTGATTTTTTCCTGACAAATTTATGAATCGATTTGTCAATTCACTTTTGACTTTAAAAGCACCTAGAGACACCAAATTTGTAGGGAAGTTTCCCTTGAATCTCTTCTAGAAGCTCTGCACATTTGGTGAAGTTTGGGCTTCCAACATCCAATTTATACACCCACAAGGAGGGTCCTCCATAAGAAAGTTCCCCCCAGGCACGTAGAGACACCAACATCACAGAAAAGCTTCCCCTGACTCTCCTTTTCAGTTCCCTCCAAGTGTAGTGGAGATTGTGTTTCAGCCGTCCAAATTATACACCTGCATAGTGAGTCCCCTCTGGGAAAGTGCCTTTTAGTAGCTGGCTTGGGAGGAACCCAACCTTCTCCAAACTTGGAGGGATTGTAGAGGAGAGTCATGGGAAGCTTCTCTGTGATTTCGGTGTCTAGGTGCCTGGGGCACCTCTTCCTTGAGGGAGCTCTTTGTGGGTGTCTAACTCCAACATCTGAAACCTAACATTCACCATACTTGGAAAGATTGTAGAAGAGTCAGAGTATGATAATTCTGGTGTGTCTAGGTGCCTTGGGGGCAAACAAATCAAAATTGCTAAAACATTCATTAATTTGTGATTTGTTGGGCTGTTGATTTGTACGAGTATGAATTCATGAATTCATGATTTTTGAACAAATTTGGTGATTCATTTTTAATTCATGCCCATCTCTATTGACAATTCTTCAAAGTACAGCTGCTCCCCTCAAAAGGAAATTGCAGCCCAAGGAGAATAGTCCAATCCATATAGTAATTATAACAGACTGTTGAGGTGACTAAGAGCGGCTTCTGTGACGGTAGCAATGCAGTTTTTTTTAATGACAGCTCCCCAAATTACCATAGACAGGACAGGCTGTGTGATTCCAGAAGCTAGAGATCAAAAAAAGTAGGTTTTCTAATCTTTGATAGAAGCCAACTCTTGTGTCTGATTCAAAGATCCTTAAACAGTCTACCAAATAAGTCAGAAAGTCTCAGCCCCTCAAGCATAGTTTTCACAGAGTTTTGCACTCACTGTGGCAACGTTAGAGAAACCATAAGAATGAATGAACTTTACTAGTTGTTAGTAAATGCTTCCTAAAGCCTGAATTAAAGAAAACATTTCCTTGACCTTGGAGTTGTGATGAAATCTATAATAACTGCACATAAAGTATGTGTTGTATTCAGCTAAGAACCTAAATGACTTTTCCGGAGCCACTAGGGGGCAGAATGTGTCCAGCCTTGGGACCTTCTAGTTTGCATTCCTTGCCACTGCCTACATTTAATTTGTTTTTAATTTTAACCTATATTTTATATACGTCCATAATTTTAATTTGTGCAGCTCTCTGATATGAATCAAGGAAGACTACTGCCTTCCTTCCTTCCTTGAATAAGAAAGGGCAATCAAAGGGAAAATATGGCAATAAATAGCTTCATTTGTCGTGATCTTCATTGACTGTTAGTCATGGTTGCCCAGTTTTGTCCTTTGACTGTTTTTCTGTATTGCTAAGAATGTGGGTTGTTAAAACTAGTCTTGCTCCAGATTTTTATGCATATATGTCATAATTAGGTATGCCTGCTACTAGGATTGCAATAGCTCATCGTACAATAGAAGACTAATCAGTTGTTCTGTTTGGGTTCTAGTATTGGTCCCTGCAGACATTAAATGAAATAAATAAAGCATAGTGGTTATTAACCTTTTGAGATGTCCTTATGCCTTTTCTGCAGTTCACAGAATATGAATATACAGTATTTGGAAAAAATAAAAAATTCACTATATCTTTAATATTTGAATTTCATTAAAATAAATGTACTGTATTATTAAGCCACAAATACCCACTACTATGCACTCCAAATTAATTATTCTTTACAAAAATACTTTATTTTTAATTCAGTAAATAGTATTTATTCCTTAAATTAAATTTATTACAAAGCAAACTGAATGACGTAAAATACATGAGACAAATTTTATTCATTGATTCAGGTTAAATATTGAAATCATCAACATTTATTTAAATTACTTATAATTCAGATTAGCAGAATAACACACCAATTACAACATGTGCTGCTTCAAGAAAAACAAGTGAAGGGAGCAACAGTCCCGGAATTGAAGAATTCGCTCTCTGTAATGCCAGTTCCCTTTTCAAGCGAAACAAGGTGTGATAGGAAGGGTGGTCTGTGAGGTTGTCTCTAAAAGAGCTTTGGCTGCTCCTGTTTATTTGTTATCTTTGGTCTGGACCCTGAAGCCTGTTAACCAATAAGAGAACAAGATTTAACAAGGGGGGCGGTGGTACAGCCAAAAATCTGGACCACTGGCCACGCTAGCTTTGAGGTCAGCTGCTGAGCCCAAGTTCAGATAATACCACTATCGTCTCCAGAGTTAAGAACGCAGCTGCCAGCTTCCACCCACTGTTTACTTCAGCAGGATCGGAGTACGGCTCTTTTCAGTGCTCACCAGTGCAACAAAGAAAGACAATGAGAGACAGTATTTTTCCTTGGTCTATTTTCTTTTCTCTGAAAACAGTGTTGCACCTGCCAAAGTCAACAGAAATTGGGGTTACTTATGAAGGTGGATTAATCTGTTTGCAAAACTTCTTTCCCTGCCTTGGCCCGGTTCTAATTAAAACATGTTGATAGTTGCAAAACACATAGAAGAGGTCATACTGTATTTCTGTTCCCCTTTGCAGAGACCAAATTCTCAGCTATAACCTTGGCAGGCGGCTTCCAGCTGACCATGTAAGTGGCTGTCTTCAATTCAAGGTAGAGATTACATCCGCTGTCCAGGAAGGTGAGCATTTGTATCTCAGGTGCCTGTTCTCATTCCGCTGAAGTTATTTTGTTCTTGAATTACATGTTCTTAGCCTCAAGTCACTTTTTTTCCCTTTAACCATGGGTTAAGTGAGTGCTAGTAGTGACAATACTAAGTGAGACAGAGCTATCACAAATCCTCAGGTATAGAGAGATGGCACAGTAAAGCAAAATAAGAGAAAGACAGGTACAGACATTGTTATTTGTTGAAGAATCTAATAATTCTTAAAACATCTCCATTATGTCCGGGTCACAACCGCAGCTTGCCACCTTCCCCAAGGTAATAGAATAATTGCTTTATATCCTTCCTAACAGTGTTTTTCCAAATTATCTCCTGCTAAAACTACACAGAGGGTAATACAGGTCTGCATCTTTCCTTCTATAATTTCATGTATTTTTTTTCCTTTGCGATGCAAATAAAAAGGGATTCTATTTATTTTATTATTTAGTTTGATGACCGCCTATCGAACTTAATCGCTCTTAAAACAACCTATCTCAAACCACTCTACAAAAGAAGTGGAAACAATTAAAGAGAACTAAAACAAACATTAAAATATAAGATGTGAACTAACCATCAGTTAAAACATGTAAGATAAACCTTGCAAGTACTTTCCTTGGCCTTGTACCTATGTTCATACTGTCTTTTATACTGAAGATTTTATTATAGTCCTCAGCTCTTCTTAGCCTCCTTAGTTCGATTCCCCTCCAACAGGGACTCCTTGACAGGGGCTGGACTTGCTGATCCAGAGGGTCCTTTCCGGCTTTGCAGTTCTAAGGTGGTTCATACCTGCATTCCTAAGCATTTTGAATTAGACAAGGGGGGGGGGTACTTTATTACATTCCTTTATTTTACTGACAGTTTTTCTGAAAGTCATCTGTGTGGTCTTAGTTTCGTTTTTCTTCATTTCCCAAGCAAGGATTCTTTTTCCAAGTACATTTTAATATTATTTACTTTGGGAAGCTTCCCGTGCTCCTCAGCCTCCCATAGTAAATTATGCTCCCAGACTTAAAACGAACAAGCTGAAGAACAGATAGAATGAAACAAAAGAATGTTAATTTCTTGGAACAGGAATTATTTATTTTCTTTCTGCTCTTAAGTTTGATGTCACTCTATTAAAATATGAATTAGTAAAAATAATGTGCTTTCTATTAGTGGTTAATTCATAAGTCTATAATAATTCTGTTTTCCCTAGGTGTATGGTACATAGCAACCCTGTTCAAAATGAAAAGGCAGCTCAGGCTTACACAGTACCGTGGTGCTTTGCTTGACGAGGATAATCCGTTCCAGCGAAATCGCTGAAGAGCGAAATCCTCATCAAGTGAAATAAAAAGCCCATTGAAATCCATTGAAAACCGGTTCAATGCGTTCTAGTGGGCTAAATACCTCAGCGTCCAGCGAAGATCCTCCATAGGGCGGCCATTTTCGGGGGCCTGTAAAGCGAAAAATCCGTTCTAAAGCACAGCGGGGAACCATTTTACACAGTGGGTGGCCATTTTGAAACCCAATGATCAGCTGTTTTGATCGTCGTAATGCGAAGAATCGGTTCCCAAAGCAGGGGACCGATTGTTGGGAAGCAAAAAAAGCCCTTTGAAACATCATTTTGCGATCGCAAAAGCAATTTCAAAAACCTCATCGTCAAACGGATTTGTCGTTTAATGAGGCAGTCATTAAGCGAGGCACCACTGTATCTGTTATCTCTGTTACAATAACTACTATATATTATATGCCCAGAGTTTGTGGCTTCTCTGTGTTTTTTCCAACAGAGTTGATACTTGTATTCTGTAAAGCCTCACACTCACACTTCTGGACTACTGTGCCATTATGTGATAAGTCTATTTTCACATACAAGACTGTGCACTTTATAAAAGGAGCTGTGGTCTTCCTTGTTTATGACACATTTGCTAGCAAAGTCTAGCAGCATGTAGAAATTTATATAATGGACTTCTTTGCATGATTAGTTATTTTCAATGGTTGTATGAAAATTTCCTCCACTGGATCTATGTGTTCTGTAGGTAGCTCCTCCCACCATCATAATGTTCTTTCATTTTGCCCCTCAATTGGAGAGCAGAGAGAGTAATAGAATTACAATATTTATGAAAGTTTGGAATGAGTAAACCATGTGCAGTTTGGCCTGAAACCAAGCTCCCTGCTAATTTCAGTACTCAAAATGCCCACACAATTAAGTATGTCTGGGGGGGGGGGAAATGCTTAGATTTGTGCTGTAATGAGTATCTGGGTATTATATTGCCTGCAAGAGGGATTACGATTCACAGTCTCCATGCCCAGACAAGAATCAGTTGTTGTTGTTTTTTCTTGATAGATGCTTCACCAGAAACAGTGGGAACTCTGCTTGGAGTAAACTCTATAAATGGAGACTTGGGGAGCCCTTCTGATGATGAGGATGTACCTGCAGGGCATCATGATTCACCTCCAGCTTGTTCAAATGGCCCAGTCCATGAAGAATCAGCCGGAGACACCATCACAAGGCATTCCCTAAGGACTAGTACAACTCTAGAAACAGATCAGGAGGATTTGACCTCTACAGCTTCAAGGTCATCAGCACCCAGAGGACGCCAGGACTCGCTGAACGACTACCTGGATGCAATAGAACAAAGCAATCCCTATAGGTCTGGGACCTCAGCTTGCACTGAGCATGCTGTTGGGGCATCTCCCAAATTAAGAAGTAGTTTCCCTACTGACACTAGACTCAATGCAATGCTTCACATTGACTCTGATGAAGAGGAACATGAATACCATCAAGCTTTGGGGTTCCAGTCTTCCCTGGAGGATGATGGGGGTGGTTTGGTCATGCTGAATGGTACTACCAGGAGTGCTGAACTGAATCTCTTGAATAGTTCCCCGAATCGAACAACACAGAGCCAGGTTCCTGAAGAAAACGGGCAAGCACCCACTACAGAAACCTCCTTGCAACTTTCTGATAATCAGCAGGAGACCCTGGAAGGGCCTCCAGAATCAGAGTTGGGGGAAGAGGAAGAAACTCCTCCTGTTTCTCAGGATAATGGGCCAGTAAATCTGGCTGCCAATGACATTTCTCAGCCTCAAGAGGCTGAGACTCCAGCAGCTGATGTGGAAGCTGGCACTTCAGAGCCTTCTTCTGGAGGCAGAACAGAAATGACAGAAGCTGAGTCTATCGACCAGGGGTCGGAACCTTCTCAGCTTTGGTCCGAAACGGAGCAGAGCGATCCTGCCCGTACTGAGAGCGTCAGTGAATCCAGCACTAGGCCGGAAGGAGAAAGTGACGTGGAGGGGGCCGATGGTCCTTGCCAAGAAGGTGCCACTCCCCGACCCCCATCTGTTGATACTCGATGCTCCTCCTTTGAAAGCACCCGGTTTCCAGAGACCCCAGCCTTTTCCTCCCAGGAGGAGGAAGAGGGTGCTTGTGCCGTGGAGCCTGCCAGCAGCGAGCCTCCCCAGGAAACTCAGGACGTGGTGTGCACGCAGGCCTCGTTGCCCGCAGTGAACATACCAACTGCTCAAGAGGAGGGGCAGTTGCCTGAGGCAGGTGGGTTACAGGACGGTGATGAGGCTGAAGAAATCTGGCAGAGGAGGCAGAGTCTGCAGGCGGCGGCTGCTCGTGGCCAGTCTCAAGAGGAGGAGGCCGGAGGAGCCGAGGCAGCTTGCGAGGGAGCTGCTGCTTCGCAGGTGGATGGAGCCAGCGGAGGTAATGACGGTTAAAAAACAAAACAAGCACAACACCAGTGATCCTGGCACTGTTTCCAAGGAAGGGATGTCAAGAGATAGGCAGGCAAGTCAGGATGGTACCTGCAACAGCGGTTTCCCACCTGCTTCTTTAATGGGCAGCATAAATTATAAATTTCATGAGAAGGAATGTATGATAAATTTGTTCTCGAAATTAAAAAAATGGTTAACACTGCAGGTCTACTGAATTTGAAGTGTAGAGAATCTTCTCATGCAAGGTCCGAAATTATGGACAGGTAGTGTTGTAGCCATGAGGCTAAATTATTTAAAACAGTAAGAACAAATTGTGAGGAGTTTCAGAAAGATCTCCCTGCACTGGGAGTACGGGCAATAAAATAAAGCGATTCAGTGTAAACAAGTGTAAAGTGATGCATTAAGGAGTACAAAACAACAACAACAACAACAACAGCAACAACAACAACAATCCCCACCTTCCTCATACAGTGATGGACTCCAGAACTGACAGCAACTGTCCAAGGATAGGATCTTGAGGTTTTGGTAGGCAGCTTGATTAAAGAGTCATCAACCCAATTGCTCAAACCTTGTTGCTTAGAGTAATAAATCGCACTGCAGTGAGCCAGTTGAATCAATGGGGATTCGGTGAGTCAACTCCTCCATAAGTTCCATTGATTTAAATGGGCCTACTCTGGTTGCAGCTTGCTTCAGCATATTAGGTTTCAACTAAAGTAGGCTCATTTTGATCAATGGAACTTATAGAGGAATTGACTCACCAAGATGTCCTCAGAGATTGCCCTTCGCCCTGGTTTAATCCTGAGCTGCGATCAATAAAGCAAAATAGAAGGCTAGAGTGCATATGGAGGCAGAACCTGATGGAAAATAATCAAATAGCTGTCAGGATCACGACTAACCTCTACCAATCTAAGGTGAAGGCTGCTAGTTGATCTTACTTCGCTGTCCAGATAAGCGAAGCCTCCAACCAGCAGGCGGAACTATCCGGAGTTGGTCATAGTGACTGGACTCCCACTAGCATCTCACCTGACCAATTTGCAGCCTTTTTAAAATCAAAAGTGGAGGCCATCTGCCGGGATCTTACCCCCTATTTGAGCAGAGATGTCCAGTGCTTGCCTGATAACCACTTTCAAACTGTGACGTCAGACATGGTGGACAGAGTACTTGACTGCTGTCGCGCCACCACCTCTTCCCTTGTCTGGCCTGGCTAATCAAAGCAGCAAGGCCTATAACATCTGAACGGGCTATAGCAATAATTAACGGTTCTCTCCAGAAGAGCAAGGTTCCCCTTGCCCTCAAGGAGACACTCATTAGGCGTGTTAGGAAGAAACCGAGCTTGGTGGCGGACAAAATTGGCAATTTTATTTTTATTGATTTTATTTATTAGATTTCTACCCCGCCCCTCTAGACAATGTCTACTCGGGGCGGCTTACATAGGTAAAAACACAACAGTATAACATATATAAAATCATCACAAATACAGTTATAACAATTAGTTCCAAACAACACATTACCAAGATGGCATAACTCAAGGAGAAAAGAAAAAAAAATAGAAATCACTTAATTGACTGGAGAGAAGGCCTGCTTGAATAGCCAAGTTTTTAACTGACTTTTGCTCAGCAATGGATGCAGAAGAACGGACTGAGGCTGAATCTGGGCAAGACGGTGGTCCTTCAGGTGGGTGCCCCAGACATCACTGGCCTGGGAAACTCCCTGTCTGTTTTGGAGGGGGGTGACTCTTACCACCAAGAGTGAGGTTCGCCATTTGGGTGTACATCTGGACCCGGTGTTCACCATGGAGACCCAAGTTCCGCACATTTCCACCTTTGGCAGATTGCCCCTTATCCTGATGTGGAAGCGCTCACCACTTTGGTCCATGTGCTCCTAGTCTCAAGATTAGACTACTCTAATGCGCTCTACATGGGGCTGCCTTTGAGACTGACATGGAAACTTCAGCCTTGCATTGGCTGCCCATTCATTTCCGCGTTGATTTCAAAGTTCTTATGATTACATATAAATCCGTAAATGGTTTAGACCACTGGTTCTTAACCTTGGGTTACTCAGGAGTTTTGGACTGCAACTCCCAGAAGCCTTCACCACCAGCTGTCCTGACTGGGGTTTCTGGGAGTTGCAGTTCAAAAGCATCCGAGTAACAAAGGTTAAGAACCACTGGTTTAGGACCTCGCTATCTGGCAGAACTCCTTCTCCCACCCAGTTTTGCCAGAGTTACTTGTTCCAGCCAGGCTGGGCGGCTGAGGGGCCTAACGCCGAGGGAGGTCCAGAAGGAAAGAACGAGGAACAGGGCCTTCTCGGCAGTGGCCCCTTGCCTTTGGAATAACTTGCCAGTGGAGATCCGCCTGGCTCCCTCTCTGGGTGTTTTCAGGAATAAACGTTAAACCTGGCTATTTGGGCTATTTCCCTCCTGCCATATCTTAATTTCTTATACTTTCACCACCTTAGATCTATAATATATCTTTATTGGTTATATTGTTTTTAAATGTGTAAACTTCCCAGAGTAGACCTTTGGTCTAGGTGAGTGGGATAAAAATCCAATAAATAAATAAATAAATCCTCATTGATTTAATTGGCCCCCTGCAGTGTGACTTATCACTCTAAGCAACAAGGTTTCAGCAGTTGGGTTGATGACCCTTTAACGAAGCTGTCTACAAAAACCTTAGGATCCCATCCTTGGACAGTTGCTGCCCGTCACACTTCTTCTGAGAAATTTAATATAAGAGTAATGCTGTGACTTCCTACCTTAAAGTAAAAAAACATACCTAAAGAGATTCTTTGGTTTTTAGGTTCCCAAGCCAATGGTCATCAGCCGCTGAGAACGCTTCCCTCCGTTCGCCAAGATGTTAGTCGTTATCAGAGAGTGGACGAGGCCCTGCCACCAAGTAAGGAACTTTTTTATATTAATTCCAATGTTTCTGAAAGTTGAAAGTGACATTGTACATTTTGTTTAGAATATGGGTTTTCTTGGTTCCATTACCACCTTTTGTTTCCCCAGGTTGAAAAGAGTAAACTATGTACATAGCTCATGTGTTCCTCCATCCCTAGAGAACTTGCGGCTGTCATGTCCTCCTAGTGGGGATGGAGTAATCTTGCAGGGTCTTAGAAAGCTCCACTATATCAGGTCCTACTGTTTGCCTTCTGCTTTATACTTGTCTACGGTGACTGAAAGATGTTGTCTTGGTTTTGGAAAAAGCCCTTTCTGTAACATCCACAGGATGATCTTTCTAAGTTGAAATGTCAGGGATCAAACATGGGACCATCTACAAGCAATGTTACTGCTTCCTACTGAATCAGTGGTTTCTACTGAACTGCTGGTCTACAGTCCATACGTCTAGGGTGGTCTTGGAGCTCCCACTAACTCACAAACTGCAGTGCAGTTGTATGGTATAAGACAGGCTTGTCCAACCTGCAGCCCGAGGGCCGCATGCGGCCCAGGTCAGCTCGTAATGCGGCCCAGTGCAATTTCTTATTTTTAAAGAAATTCCAAAGTTTCAAGTTACACTGCCGGCGCTTGCAGCCGGAATGTGTCTGGGGCATGTCACAACAGTAGAGGGGGAGAGAGGGAAGGAAGGAAGGAGTAGGAGGGGAGGGGACAGGGGACTGCGTGACTGCATTGTGCTGTCCCTGTCAATAGATGGACCCCCCTCCCGGCCCCATAAAGCCACTGGAGTCGAAGTTGGCTGCCTCTGCTGTCTGAGATTGCTGCTGCCGGTAAACGCACTTGGAGTGGGGCTGCCGAGGACGGCTAGGGCTGCCCCCCATGCGGCCCAAACCAAATGTATGTGTGGCCCAAACCAAATTTTCATCTTCTAATGTGGCCCAGGGAAGGTGAAAGGTTGGACACCCCTGGTATAAGAGAACTGCAAATGTGCTGTGAAACATCAGAGCATTAAATAATGGACAGTTCCAGAAAGCCCAAAATACCCCACCACACAAGAGGATGCCTTCTGTATGGTTTTGAACTCTGGCTTTCTTTCTAAGACAATCTCTACCGTGTATGGATAGTCTGGTTGCATTTCTGCATTGGTTATGATGTGGAGAAGGCTGCTATTTTTTTTTTTTGGGTCATTTTTACAGTGAAAACAAAGCAAAACCTTTTCAACGTAGGCAAGAACGTTGGGAACATCAGTGGCGAAGCAGTGCTCTGAAGCAGAACTGGGCAAAGCATAGCCCATATGTAACCCCCAAGTCTATTTTTGTGACTCCCACTGGGCCTATGATGTCCCCCACCCCTAGAAAAAAAATAATTTTTTAAATAACATTTTTGCTTATTATCCCAAGGCCCCCAGAAGTGGTTTGTTTGTATGTTTGTTTGTATTAGATGAGCAAAGGTGCCTTCTCCACACCAAAACTCCAGTAATTAAAATGGAAGTGGATGTCAGGTCAATTCTGGTTTTGGTTTTTAAATTTGTGGGGAGATGTTTTTCATCATTTTAGGGCCTGGTGTGGTCTGCAGTGGGTGTTAGGGTTGAAAAATTGGGCCCCAAGGTTTCACATCTCTGCCCTAAAATATCTAATATCTTATGCTTGTTTTTTGTTACCTTAGATTGGGAAGCACGTATTGACAGTCATGGGAGAATATTCTATGTGGACCACGTAAACAGAACCACAACTTGGCAGAGGCCCACAGGTCCCCCAGCCCAGCAAATCCTTCAGCGTTCCAACTCCATACAGCAAATGGAGCAGCTGAATCGCCGGTGAGAATTATTCAGATTTTTTTTTCTGTAGCACAGGAAAAAAAATCTGAATAAAAATAAAAATTAATCAATGTACTTTATCTCCTGACAAAGGACACACTTTATGATTGCAAGTCACGAAACTTCCTTGAACTCAGCCAATGTAGAAATATTTATCTTTCTCTTAATAACGTATAACATATGTAAGGTTGGCATTAGCTCAGAAACATGACCGAGAGAGTTCTTTTTTCATTCTGCAAATAAATACGGAAGATCTGCTACGGGGAGTGACTTAGTGTTTATACAAAGCCACAGCAGGGGTAAGGTTGACTTTCAGAAACATTTTCACAGCTACTGAAATGCAACCTTTATTTCCAAGCAGGAGGGCAGGATAGGGATGCAAAATTGTCAATAGGGGCTTCTGGAATGACTTTAAGATATTGACACTTCTGTGTGTGAGCACAACAGCACTGGGGCTTTAACAAGAGCGTGGGCTGTGCATGTTTAGCAAAAGAAAAATATGGGCAGCCACAATTCCCTTTAGGGTTGTTTCCATGCAGCTAAAAAATAAATGGTTATGTGAATCTGTGCTATCACTGCATGATGCCTAATGATCCAGCTTTATGCCACAAAGATGCCTTTCCATTTTTTTTAATGAGGTTGAATCAAAAGCGGAGGGCTTAGAGCAATCAATGCTTGGGGGACAATAATCGTGAACAGCGTGAAGAAATATATGAAGGAATAGACAGTAGACAATACTTTGCAAATCTTTCTTCATTCCTAAAATGCTCAATGGCCACATTAAAAATGTGCCATAGAATGTCTAACTATCCCTTCTCTTTGGTCTTGTGGGAGCACGCTTTACTGGCTATGTTCCTCCAGCCTGTATTTGCCTAAATACAGGCTTAGGAAAGAAATACAATAAAATCATGAGGGGAACTTTTTAAAAATACGTTGTAAAGTTCATTATCCCCTCAAGGTCAGTTTATGGGGACAGGAGACAGAACCTGGTGATGGTAAGCAGCAAACTAATTGGTCTCTAAAGTTTGAGGGAAGACCATCCCTATGACTTAATTTATTAATTCATTCAAAAATTTTTGTACCTGTTCAGCCATCAGAGTGACTTACAACGATTAGTATTAAACCAGTCCTTTACCCATAGGATTGTAAACTAGAAGGCACAATGCAATTTAATTGCCTGGAGCCAAAGGAAAGATGAAACTGTACTCATGTATTTAGTTATTTAAAATATTTTTACCCCACCTTTCTCCTTAAAAAGGGCCCAAGGTGACTTATATCATTACAAAAAATATTTAAAGAGCTAAAACTGGTAAGTTAGACATTTAAGTACAAGTAAATAAAACATATTTAAAATGTTAAAAGAAAAACATTGCAAAAGAGATTTAAAAACAGCAAAGTACAAGCATCCGAGACACTCATTCTGTGGTCCAGAGTTCTCCTTATAATTGGATGGAATAGAAACAGTTCAAGGAAAGGGGACACAAAGTGAGGAAATGTTCGGCTTCTTGATCTTCCTTCCCCTCAGCCTAGTAGCAGGATGGTTGCTGCCATTTAATTTGGGGTTATAGCCACTTGTCAGTGTTCTCGGTATGCTAGAGCCAGAAGCATCTGATCGACTTACTGTATTGCATTCAGAGTCTAATTCCAGTCTTGGAACTTCAGGTATCAGAGTATTCGCCGGACAATGACTAATGATCGACCAGAGGAGCACCCAAATGCCATGGATGCGGCTGGAGAGGATACTGACTTCCATCATCCTAATGCAGGTAAAAAACCTCCTTAGTGGCCCTTTTCCTCTCTAAATATTACCCCGTGCGTTGCTTTAGTTTGGGACCTATACAAGACTAAAGGCATACTGTAGGTCTCCTGTTTGGTTTAAAAAGTTGCAACTAGCTTTGGTTGGGATTTCTTCATTTTTAAAAATTTTTAAGGAAATGTAGGTGAACCCTCTTGGCTTTGTCCAACAGTGGTCATCTGTCCACTGAACCCCTCAAGGGCAAAATAGATCCCTTCTACCTTGCAACCCTTTCCCAGCACATACCTCTCAAGCTGAAACATGTTCAGGAGAAAATGGGGGGGGGGTTAGGGGAGGAGGAGGAAAGGGGAAACTCCCATTGAGTTAAGAGATTCTTCCTCACGTGACATTGGATATAGGCCTCTGTTCACAACAGCTGACTCCCTTTTTCAGTAAAACTGTTCCAAGACTAGTTGCGTGGGTTTTTAATGCTCCCTATTTTGGAGGGCCAAAATAGGGAGCATTAAATTAAATATTAACGACCACTAGTTTACATAAGATTATATGTTCATTCATGGATTATTGTGTCCTTTTATAAAACTGAAACTGTTTAATTTTGAAAACGTGTTCTGCAAATTTGAGCAAATACTCAGAGACACAAACATAAATAGTGACAGAAATGTAAGCTGGGAATAGACTCACCTTTTAAAGTTTATCATCTTTTCTAGCCAAAAGGAGCGAAGGAGGCCAAGAGGACAATAAGGTTGGCTCACCAGAAGGACTTTAATAAAAGTTTAATCAGATTTCTGTCTCCCTAATAAGTTTGAACAATAGGTTTCAGCAGAAAAACTTCTGCTTTGTCTCATTGCTGTGCATCTGGATCATTGCAATAGGCCTTGAAGTGGTGGCTATGTAGATTCCTCTAATTTCCCATATAGAGGTGTCAGGGTATGAGCTGCTGATGCTGAAGTCTTCTCCAGCTTTAGAATCGCCTGTAGCAGGAGTGGGTAGCCTTTTGCCCTTCACATATTATGGACCCCAGCTCTTGTAACACCAGGCCAGGATATCCAGTGTCAAGAGATTACAGGAGTTATTGTCCAAACCACTAAAAAGTCTCCCCTCCCTGCCTTATAACTGTGGTTGAAACAGGAACCAGGTGACTTTGTAAAATCACTTCCTTTCAGTTCCTGATTAACAGATTTGTTGTTCTTCTGCCAGCTAGAATATCCTTTCCCCACATTTTAAAACAAATAGCATGCCAGTCTGTTACTAATAGCTGGATCTTGCAGTAATCCTATTATGTCTATCACATGTTGAAATCAAATTTGTGAAGGAGAAAATGATAAGCATGTGAACCCTCAAATCTGATTGTTAGGGACCTGGATACATTGACCTAAACCCTGTTGTGTAGTTATGCCAGTAAAACACTAAATGGCATAACATTTTGAGAATGGCTTCTAGTTAAGAAATCACCATGGACACTTCCTGTTGTGTTCTGAGTTGGGGGATTCAGTACATAATAGATAAGGTCAACAGTGATTTCTTGAGACAATTCACATCCCAAAGTTGATGTTGTTCATATTATGCCAGTGTAACTATGCTAGAGGATTGTAATTCTAGTACAGTAGGACCCCCATATCCACTGGGGATCGGTTCCTAGCTCCCCATGGATACTGAAAACTGAGGATATTAGTAATGTGTGTGTGTGTGTGCGCGCGTGCGTGCGTGCGTGTGTGTGTGTGTGTGTGTGTAAAAGGGCGGGGAGAAAATATTTTTCACACACATTACCAGAAGTGGCCACTAGAGGACACCAGAGACTACACAATGTATTCATAGCATGATCTTTGCCTCCCTCTGGTAACTGGTTCTGGTAACACAAGTGAAAATATTTTTTCTGGATTTTTTCTTTTATTTTTAATATTTTAAGACTATGGATAAGTGAAATAATGAATACTGATCCAGCAGATACAGAGATCTTAAGGTATTCCTTGTTCATTTTGCTCATTGATTTAATTTTTAAAATTTATTTCATGTTGAATTCAACGTACCCTCTAATTTTCATCCCCGCTTGACAGGGCTCCGTCTCTTTCGTGCATGGCTTCGCCCCTGGGTGTCTGCACGACTCCTCCCCCCATGCACTGGGTTCTGTCATGACCAGAATCTAATGTGATCACTGTGCAGAGAAGGAAGAGAGCCGCACGGAGGGAAGTAGAGTCGTGAATGCACGCACGCCCAGCTTAGCGGGAACCTTAGTTGCATTCCATAATTAGTATTAAACAAAAAAGAATATTCTGCAGCAAAGGTTAAGGGAAAACAGTTTAACTTTTATTTCTACATTTGATTCATTTCTTAGTGTTTGACTTTGAAATATTTCTGCTAATTCATGACTGTGCACTTGTGCTCTTTTTAGATTTCCGTAGGGAGAACGTGCTGCCTCATTCTACCTCCAGATCCAGGCTCACTCTACTGCTACAGTCTCCCCCTGTAAAATTCCTTATCAGTCCAGAGTTCTTCACAGTGCTGCATTCTAACCCTGTGAGTAGCATGCACAAATCAAAAATGGGGAGAAATGCTAGAGGAAATGATGGTTTTACATCTTTAGTTGTGGATTTCAGTATATTAGAGTCATTAAAGTAATTTAATTAGATTCATTTAAAGTGATTTTGTTGCTAACTACAGCAAAAGATGGGATCGCTTACAACACAGGTGCACAACAGAAAGGATTCAGTAAGGATTTTGTACTACAGAGGTTAATGAATTAATTCATTCAGCAGGAATTGCTCCTTGCACTGTGTAAATGATTAGATCCAAGGCTTTGTTATATTTTGTTTTTGTTTTTTGAAAACTCAGGTAGGCATGCCACATCTAGTACTAGCTTCTCAAAATACAGTAGTTATTTTTATTTTACTTCTTCTTTCTCCACCAGAGTGCCTATCACATGTTTACAAACAACACGTGTCTGAAGCACATGATCACCAAAGTCCGACGGGATACCCATCATTTTGAGCGCTATCAGCACAATCGAGATTTGGTGGGCTTCTTGAATATGTTTGCCAACAAACAGCTGGAGTTGCCGAGGGGATGGGAAATGAAACATGACCATCAGGGCAAGGTAACCAAGAGAACCAATCTAATGTTGGTTTCATTTGCCTTAATCCTAATCCTGGTGCAGTTGTGAGACATGTGCTTTAAAAGGAACAAATGTACCAACACTAACTTTTCCACGAGTTAGATTTTGGACAGTGAAAATGACTTGACAGATGGAGAAAAGTGATCCTGCGTATAGAGTGATAAAAAATTATTACAGAAGATCAGATGGCACTTAAGAGAAAAGTTAATCATTAAACAGAGCAAAATCTGATCACTGAAGGAACACTTTTACTAGACAAGCTGTTTTTCCTTGGAACTAGATACGTACTAGAACTCTGCATTCAGTACCTGAAGCTGGCAAAATCTTTAGATTGGGCTGCTAACATAGATCAGAATTCAGCCACTATAGTTGGCTGAATTGCAACCACCCTAGATTAGATGCAGTTTATCAATTCATGTAAATTCAGAAAATACAATCTGGGGGCCTGCATGCAGTCCATAGTCTCCATTTTCCCAGTACAGGTTAGCAGGAAGCACAGTATGACATCCCAGTGTTACCTTTAGGGATGGAACTTCCATATATTTTGGGTATCAGATGGAATTGCCCCGGTTAGAATCCTGGTGGCTTATATCTGAGCTGCCAGTCTGTATGGTGATGGAGAAACCTGCTGAGCCGACTTAAGTGCTGCAAAGCGTTAGAGGTATTGTAATTTCCTGAGGTGTATTCTCTACACAGAACATAATGGGCAGGGAGACTACAATACCCTAATTAGACATGGGCTATTCGTATTCACTATCTCTGGGGATGTCATCGTTGTCATTGTGCCAATCACTGCAGGAACCTGGTCGGCTTTCCCTGCCTCCCCGCATAGCTGGCCACTGATCAGCTGAGCGGGAAGACTCCATGTCCCACCTCCTCGCCGCAGTGGTTGGCTGCCGGAGAGGCAAGGAAAGCTGGCTAGGCTCCTGCCGCAGTGACAATGATGAAGGACCGCAGTGCCACATGGAGCCTGGCGAGTGGGTCAGCCGGTTCTGAGGGAGGGAGCTGGGCCCCCGCAGCACCTGTGGTACCATGGGTCATACGAATATGAATAGCCCATGTCTGTTCCTAATGTTTTGCAGTGCCCACAGATCTTAGCCTCCCCAGACACTTATTTCATTGCTGTATAGTCTCAAAGCACAGAAATTGAGCATTTTTCCTCATTTATTTAGGAAGTTATTTCAAATACCTGAGAGGGCTTTGGGGGAGGAGAAGAATTAAAGCCCCAAGAATTCTGTATGGGGCGATTCCAGCAGATGTCTAGCTGTTGTAGTGAGAGAGAGAAAAAGCATCTCTAGCTACCATCCCTTTGTCACAGAAAGCTATTAAGATAAGGATTGATGGCTCAGTATCTAGCATGAAGGTCTCAGACTATGGGCTTCTTCCGATGCTCATACTGTATCTTGGTATGAACCTCCACATTTAGACTCCTTGTTTCTTCCTTCATGGCAAACTTGAATGAACTGCAGAAGTCTCAGATTCACCATAGTTTCCCACTTTGTCCAAACTAGTGAACTGTGGCAAACAACTTTGGAACAAGCCAGGATCTTAAACCAGCTTCAAGTCGTGGTTTTAGATCCTGGCCTTTCTTCTCTTTAGGTACTGAGTTTACTGACAAAAAGCTGATAAACATCCATGCTTCTTAAACGGGGATACAACCATGCAGATGCAGCGATGATGTCATCAACAGGAGCCATCGCTGGTAGCCATCTGGGTAGACAGACCTAGTAAAGGCTGACAAGACACAGTTCCCATTCCAAAATTTAGCAATGTTCAGAATTCATTGAGTTCCTTCCAAATTTGGCAGTGTTTTTTTTTTCAGGCAAGCTGCCACTATATTCTGCTTGGAATATAATGTTTTTGTTGTTGTTTGCTTTGCACTTACCAGAATCCTGTTGGTGATTTATACCTGCATTAAATTGAATTGCATGCCTCAACAAGGCAGTTGTTAAATAACAAGATGTTGGTCATGTTATGAGTTGCATGCCTGGTTACACAACAGGTATGTGCCTTGTAATGCAACCAGTGCCTTGTTAATTATCAGCAATTCACCGTGGTCAGTTATGCATAATATCTTACGCATCTGTAAATTCCCAGTAGGATTCTGGCCAATATTGTTTATGGAGAATCACTTGAAAACCTAGAACTGCCATGAGGGCTGCTGTTTTGAAAATGGCTTTGCAGTCTCGTTCTCGTCTTTTGATTGTAGCTTTTCACTGCTTGCACTTAAGCGAACAGTGCAGCTTACAGAACTGGGATAGGTGCCTGAGGCCTTGAGGAGATTTCCTCACAATTAGCTATGCTATCTAGAGCAGCAGTCCGCAACCTTTTTGGGACTGTGGACTGGTTTGGTGGAGTGGGCTCCGTGCCTGGGGGTGGCACCCCTGTGCGAGCATGACATGCCCCTGCGTGAGCTCAACACGCCCCTGTGTGAGCATGACACACCCCTGCACAAGTGTGACATGCCCCCTTGTGCATGACGCACCCCGTGTGTGAGTGCAACATGCCCCCTGTGTGAGCAGGAAATGCTCCTGTGAGCATGACACAGCCCCTGAGCAAGTACGACATGCTGCCGCATAAGCACGACACACCCAACGAGCAGGGGGGGCATAGATCCATCTCCGCGCCCCAGTTCCAGCAAGCCCTGTGGCACTGGGCTACGGACCGGGGGTTGAGAGCCCCTGATCTAGAGCTGATTATAGTTGTGAACCATTAAAGCATCTATAGGGCCACAGTTTCCTGCTGCTGCAGTAGAAACTAACAGCTGTACAAAAATCATATGCTTTGTGGTTGTCTTCATCTGCCTTCAGGTGTCTGATAGCCAGCCCAGGAACGAAAATGGAAAAAAGCCGCTGTGCAGAAGCATTATGCAAGCTAATTTATTCTTCCACGAGTGGGTAATCACAGGACCCAAATAGAATTTCAGCTCCTTGGCTGTCAACCAGTGGTGACTCAAAGCAGATCAGTTTTGTAAGGAGCAGTAACACACATCCGACTAGGCAATAATCATGATTAGTGTAAATGTATAAAGCACACTTTTGTTCTTTGGATATGAGCCAGCATTTCTTCCCATTTTGGTTGCAGGAGAGAATCCATGCGGTCTAGTGAAAAGTGTTCCTACAAGGCTTGGGACTTCTTGGCTTGAAGCTCAGTTTCACGGATGAAGTCACTGAGTGACCTTGGGCACCTCACATTGTTTATGTATATTTTTAAATCAGGATAAATGTGTACTGCTACATTCCGGGCCTGGGCTTTTTGTTAGTTTTCAAAGCAGCAGATAACATAACCTCAAAAGCAATTGAAAACAAAAGAGTTGTTCAGCCTGGCTGGGACTTCCCTGCAGAGGGAGAGCACTCTGCATTTTAAAGCTAGATAAACACTACCATGTACAAGACTGCTCCCTTATTTTAAGTGTAACTTTTCCCAACATTGTGCATTCCTTATCTCCTGGGCAGCCCTATCACAACTTTTTGGAATGTGATTAGTATTTTGGAGGGTTGGTGGTGGGGCGGAGGAGAAGCATACCCGTGTCTTTTATTTCCTCACTTCCTTTTGCCATTAGCAGTCCATGTTTTCTCTTGGGGGGCTGAGACAGGATGCCAGCCAGCGTCCCAAGACAGCTGTTGCTTTTCTTTAGCTAGTGAAGTGAGTCTGGGTAGGGCTGGAGGGGGAGGCTGTTAGAAGTTTACAGTATTTAAATGCTGCTCTCACTGTGAATAACTGGATCCAGTGCTAGAGGTGGTGTATAGCAGCCCACTATGACCATTTTTCCCCACATAGTTCGTTTTAAGCATAACGTTGATGTGTTCAACATTGACACATGTTCAAAGTGTCACAAAAGCAGTGTGTGAACGGAGGTCTTAAATAACTTTATTAATACATGCATCTTCGATACAGGTTGCAAACTACTTCTGCTTTTGTAATTCTGAGCTTTTTGTCATTCCTTAGTTAGCACCCTGTTTATTATTTATGCCCACAGAAATTTCACAGCGGAAGCTGCTGCAGTGATCTGTCAAGGTGCTGGTTGTGTGCCTGGTCATAGGTGAACAACAACACCTGGTCAGATTGCCAAGGTAGCTTCTGTGATTGAACTCCCTGTGTGCATAAATATGGGACAGCGTAATAGCCTCCCTGTTTATAGTGTTTGGCCTGCGTTTCTGCTCTTGCAACCAAAAGCAGCATTTCTCACACAGAAAAAGTATCAACTTGAGGGAAGAGGATGGGGAAGAGAGCCTAAGGGAGAGAGGGGGAAATCTCCCAAGTGGGCCTGTTAAGACCAGACAGGCTCAGTGGCCTGGGAAGGCTGATTTTGGAGCAGAAGGTAAAGACTACACAATAGCACTTCCCGTTCCCCAACATTTTGTTCCAGGTCCTGCATCAGGACAAACACCATAGAACAGGGATGACTAACTCCCCCCCCCCCAGTTGTAGGACCCACTAGAGATTTTTGAGAGTACAACTGAAGAGAAAAGATTTCACAATGGTAGTATTATATCTTAAATATAATAATTCCCCCACCCTTTTTTTCCATAAGAAGAATATTGGTAGTCACGGAAAACTGTGCTGAAGTGGTTGCATGCCTGTCACAGGTTGTGCACCCTTGCAATAGCTAATAAGCTCCTGGATGACCCACAGTCCATATTGTGCTCCTGATGATGGAGAAGGCCATAGTCTCTCTCTCTCTCTCTTTTTTTTTTTAACTGATAGGCTGCACTCCAGCGGCTAGGCTTATTTTGAGTTTGCTGTTTAGATCTGGGTATGATTTCCAGGGAATTAAGTGTCTGTCTGCAGTATGGCCCAGTCACACATTATATAAGCGCTCATCTGCTTTCTTAGAAAGTGTTGCAGATAATTTGAGCTTGTGTCCATGGAGGCACCAAGTATTTATGGTTTACTTGTGGGAAGAATTTGTGCTTAAAACAGTTACAGCGCCTGTCAAAGTAAAACGTGAAGTTTGTCCAAACCGAAATACCCTGTTTCTGTTTCTAGTCAGCACAAACGTCCAGGTTACGCCCCTGCCCTGTGGCCGGTGGTGGGTATAAAAGCAGGCTTTTGAGGGTGGTTTTCCCCTTCTTTGAGCCCTGCTTCAGTGTTGTTTCCAGCTGCAGTACCACTCGTCCAGATTAGCCCAGAGCTTTGAAGCTTCAATGACTTTTCTTTTCTCTAATGAAGCTTCAAAATGGCAATTCTGGGTTTCATTATGTGGTAGACGGCTACCGGCTGGCCTCAAAGCACATGTGCTTAACAAGATAGGATTGCATTCATTTAGTGTAATCCGTAAGCATCTTTCCTGTTTGCTTAAATATACGGCATAAGTGAGTGTTAAACGCTTTGCTAAATTGCTGTGTGAGAACAAGAGCTGTACATACGCAGCGTTGCTCACATGGAAACATTTGTTTCCCTGCAGGACAGACTAACTCTGGATTTATATTTCAAGTTGTATGTGTGATTATAGAGCTCAATCTGATTAAAATGTTAGCCTTTGGGAAGCCAGGGTTTGCTTTTAAAAACGCTAGTCTGAATTACAGAGAACAGACACCAGGCAGGTTGATTCATAAACCAGTTAAGCCAGAGAGCTTGAAGTAAATTGGACTAAACAGGATCTGAATAAAAAGAGTCCAGTTTAATTTTGGTTAATGACTCAAATGTTTGGGCCCGATCCATCCCATGTACTCTCCTAATGGTAGTACAAAAAGCAGAGCCGCCCAAGTTTTTTGGCACTTCAAAGACTGACAGAGTAATTGTGGCATAAGCTTTCGTGGCCCAAATGTTTCTGAGTACTTGTTTCTCTGAAATGGGTATACATATTTTTAACAGCTTAACACAACTGTCTGCAATAAATAAAGTGGCACGGTTACAGTCTCAAATATACTTAACCCGGCAGGAAGTGCCACCAGGCTCAAATTGTGCACACCCAAGTAAACAGGTTTGTAATTGGTTGCTTCATATGTGGAGAATCATTCACTCTTGTCCGGCACTGCCCAAGGTTTTTCTTCTTTAAGGAAGTAGGGCACCGTGCAACTATTTTGGAAGCTTGTGGCATTCTGCTTCAATTAAAAAAAAAACAAAACAAGTTTTTTGAATCCATTTATTTGGTTGCCTAGGATATTTTTATTTTTGTTCTTTCCGTTGTCGTTTCTTTTGTTAGCCTACCTAGAATAGCTCTACTCCTGGCATGCTTCAACCTGTAATCATATTGTGCTGTGGAACTTAATCAGATGTTTCACATGTATACGCACGTATTTGTGGTTATAATTATACTGTAAGCAGTTAAGTAGCGTGTATGTTTTTTTTAAATGTTAAATACGCTTTGATTTTTTTAAAAAAATAAACAAGCAGAAAAAAAAACGAGGAAGCAAACATAACAGGAGTTACTCCTGTCTTTCTTCTCATACATACAGTAGGTGAAACTGAACGCTTACAGCTGAGGATTTGACCGGCTATTTTGAATTAATGTGTAATAGTTAGCCATTCAAGTACAGAGCTTTTCCTGTCAATAAGTTTTGCATTGCTTTTTCACAATTACCTCTGGCTATCCCTCAGCTTGCATATGTGAACGACTTGCGATTCATTCTCCAAGTCTTCTCCCTCTTAAACTTGACTTGACTGATGCCAGTTGCCCTGCCTCTGAGAATCTGCATTTTAAAGACCAGATTGTCTACCCACCACCCTTAGGTAAGAGAAACAGCAGGTGCAAGCATTTCCGTTCTCTGGTAAAGTTCAGAGTCTCTCAGTCACTCTAGGATGCGAAACATCCTGTGTCTGCAACCACCAGATGCATTGCTTTTGCAAAGGTAGAGGTTACTCAGGAAGGCCTGAGGGGAGTCAGAAATACCCACAGCCGCAGTGAGGAAAGGCAAGTAACGCTGTGCTTTCTTTTCTTCTCTCATCCTGCTTCACTAGGCTTTTTTTGTTGACCACAATTCTCGCACCACCACATTCATCGACCCACGGCTTCCTTTGCAGAGCACCAGGCCAACCAGCGCCTTGGTCCACCGGCAGCATTTGACAAGACAGCGTAGCCACAGCGCTGGTGAGGTAAGCGTGCGCAAGCCTTTTTGCACGTGTGTGTGTCAGTTAACTAGGGGACATTGGTTCATCATGTTTTCACTGTCCGTTTTGACATTCATTATCAGCCCATTCACAACTCTACCACTATTCTGGTTGCTTCTTCAGAACGAATATTCTCTTGTTTTTTTAAAAAAAATACAAAGGGACTTTAAGGAAGTGCCCATGATAATTTAGGCAACAAACTACTTATATGTTTTTTTTTTAAGTATGTCTAAGCAGGGGTTTGAACCTTAGTCTCCAGCCCGCTCTGCCCATCTAGGCCCCACAATCTAGACATTAAAGAACAATGGCTGTCAAAGAAAACACAGTATTTCTTTTATAGGCCCCATTTTCACATTGGTGACTTTCTCTCTTGTGTGCACGTATGCACATGTACACATGTACATTTGCACATTCTCACTTAGGTCAGGTTGACGGAAGTCGCATCCTAACCCGCAAGATGCTAGGAGGCCAATATAAGCTAAACAAACCATATGAGTGCCACCTGAATGGATTAGAATGGATGCATAGCAGCTAATTATAGTGTGCCAGCAGAAAATTGGTCCCTCTATAATGCCTGACAGAGGGTCTCAAGGTTTTTCAACTGGAGTCTTTTGAACCCTTTCCTGGAGGTGCTGGTAAGGAAAGATGGGACTTCCAGATGCAAAGCATATGTTCTGTCACTGAGTTTACAGTCCTTTTCAAAAGCTTATTGTGTGTCGTTTTTTTAAAAAAAAGCCCAAACAAACTTTGATAAAGAGTTCTGAAAGAGCTCCTTATCAAAGGAAAGAGTTCCAAGATAGATAGATAGATAAAGAAAGATAAAGAGTTCCAAGAGTTTCCTCCTTGGAAAAATTCTGGGCTCCAGAATTGCCTTCCTCCTGATCGCTTACCACAGTGAACTCTCTACTGTGGAAATGGCACACTGCTTCTGACCGAACCTGGCATGGAAAACAAACTCCATAAACACAAGAGCAGCAATTATTAGCCAAGGTGATAACCTATAGGAGGTTTCATTTCAGTCACTCTTGGGAGGATAACAGTGTGTATTACACTGTGGCCTGAGTCAGCTGAATTCAGGTTGTGCTCGCTCTGTGAGAGTCTCCTGACCTTGCAGTAGCAATGTTATCTTTTGCAAAATGCCCTTGTCGCCTTCCTTTCGTACCACTGGAGGGCTCCTGAATACAGCTTTGTTCCCAGAACAGTAGCAGCAGGCACAGCAGCAACAGCTGCCTGTTTTCTCACACCAGGTCTTTGGAGATGATTATCTTTTTGCGAGCCTTGCAGGAGAAAGGCAACATGCCAAGGCAATGTGGGGTGGGAAGGAGTCCCTGTGTAATTCTGGTAAGGCCCTCTGAGCTCTTTACTGCAGTATCAGAACCTTTTAAAGGATTCCAGTAGCTCTTAAGCAAGTGTTCCCCCCCCAAAAAAAAAATGAATGCACAGGGATTGATTTTCAATCCCGTTAGGCCCATGTTGACTGTATTTCCGGCACACATCTGAACGGATCAGTATGTACTCATTTCACCCCTCTCCCCTAAAAGTTCAAGGGAATTGGTTGAAAGCTTTGGAAACAACTGTTACAACAGATGTGTGTTTACAGGAAGTGTCTCTTACAAAAACAAATAGCGACATTTTAGGAGCAAATAAGTATTTGGAAGGTTGCAAGATGGCTTTTTTTTGTTTTGTTTTATTTTTAACCAGTAGTGGTTCTAGTTCTTCCTCCGCTGCCTCCTCCTTTGTAAAGACTTTTATTTGGCTTGCTCCATTACTGCAGATGCCTTGGGCGGGATCTTGTGTTATCCATCTCCTGTGTTTCCTTATCTCCTTTTATCAACCCCATCCACTTTGAAGGATTAGGAGTTGGGTATTGTTGTTGTTTTTTAAAGAAGATTTGGGGTTCTGCTGGAGGAGTGTAGGGGGAGGAGAAGAAGTGGAAAGGAAGGGAGAAAAGTTCAACTGAAAATAATTCCTTCTTTCCTTCCTTCCCACTGGATGAAACCTATTTATACAGCTATTAGCTCTGTTGGTCTTGTTTCCTAAACAGCATTCTTGGGTTCATTGCCTGACCTGAGGGTGGAGGAAAAGTCTTTTTCAAAAATGGGGAAAAACAAATGAAGAAATTGATACCAACAATACTTGCATTTCTACTTTTTGGCATAAAACTCCAGAAGGAGATGTTGTTTCCACTTTTTTTAGGAAAGAGAAGTCTCCTTCTCCACTGAAGAATGTACCAATCTAGCTTTCAGAGGCTCTCAACATTTTTGTTAGTTTGTGGTTCTTTTAAAGCCAATTATGTCCAAGTCTTATCTGTTTCAAAGAAGCAAAGTTGTGGAAATATAATCATTTACTTTGGCTAGAATGTAGTAGCACACATGATTCTCACGCTGAAAGGAAACAGAGTTCAGTAAACATAAAAAAAACAAGTAGTGATGTGCTAAAAAGCTAAAGTTAATGTACCAAATGAGCAAAGACCTTGCAAAACTAAAGGTTGCTTTTTGCAAAGCAGAATGTACTCGATTGTAATTAGGGAAGGAAGTGAGTGATGATCGTAGGTGATGCTTTGGGGCTTTCCTTATGAGACAGCATCTCATAAGTATGCATAGAAGTTAGTATTTTTACTGCTTAAGCGTTTGCCGAATTTAATGAAATTTATCACTACTGTGAGTGGACTATAGGTCATTTTTCCTCATGTGGATCCAGTATTGGTTCCTTGCGATAAATGATGGTTGCTTAAACGTTGGTAGTCCTGGTGTGGCTCCGTGAGACAGGGGGTGGGAATCTGAATCTCCATCCTGCCTCCTGAAAGGCAGGCCAAGTTCTCTTAAAGTATGTTATGTACTCACCTGTGAGGCCTTGAGTAAGTTGTATGATCCCAGAGTACAATTAGAAGGAGGAACTGGTACGCCAGCTCTTGGGACTTTTTCTGTAAGAAACTCTGTGAAGGTAGCGGTCAGCTAGAATTGATTTAAAGGGACATAATTATTAAGAACTTCAAGCTTGGGAGCAGAATCCTGCTTGTTAAAATGTTGCCTGATGATACATAATGAGGAAAAAAGTCTTTTAAATTAAGAGCACAGACTACTGCATTTTTCCATGTATAAGACTATACTTTTGTCTAAAATCTTTAGACTAAAAATTGGGGGTCATCTTCACAGAAGTAAGTTGAGGAGAGAAAGAACAAGTGGAGGGGAAAGCAGGGATCAAAGTGATCCTGCAGGGCTTTGATCCCTGCTTTCCCGTCCACTTGCTAAGCCTTAGCAAAAGGAAAGCAGGGATCAAGGCGCTGCAGGATGGCTTTAATCCTTGCTTTCTCCTCTGCTTACTAAGTCCCACGGGGCTTAGCAAAAGGAGGAGAAAAGGATAAAAGCAGTCCCATGGCTGTATAAGGGGGAAAGGGATCAAAACGATCATGCAGTCGCGTGATAGCTTTGATCCCTTTCCCCCTCCTTTTGGGGGGGAAGCAGGGATCAAAGCGATCCTGCAGTGCTTTGATCCCTTTCCCCCTACATTTGCTAAGCCCCACTTAGATTTCTTAATTTTGGGTTAGAAAAGTGGAGGGGGGCATCTTATACACGGAAAATACAGTAACTAAGATTTTAAGGTTGACAAGTAGAATAGCTAGGTGACTCTTTTATGCAGCCTTCTCTCACTTGGTGCCCTCTAGATGAGTCACAGTAAACCTCTACCATTGCAAGCCAACTTGGGCACTGGTTATACAGTACTGACTGTGATAATGGATGTTGTAGTAAAACACATACAGTATGGTGGTAACTAGTTTATGAAAAGGGTCCAATACTTGTAAAAACAATAATACTGGTACAGGGGAAACTGGTGCCAGTTACCATGTGATTTAGAAAATCCCTATTTAAGATTGGTTCTAGTGCTTAAATGTAAAGAATATTAAAGCAAGTGAATCACAGGGACTCACAGCTATGTAAGGATGATATCTGAAAGTCTGTTGAACTAATTCTTATTAGCCTTGCATGTTCCAAATACCTATCTAAGAGAAGTATGAATAAAAATTACCTCCTTCACTGCTACATCAGCATAAGAAAAGCTATTGTGTTTATTATATGAGACTTTTCACCTTGTTTGGGTCATTTGCATCCCATTACCTTTTCATATGTATTCTGTCCCTATTCATCTTCGCTGGGATTTTTAAAATGCAAAGTGAAGAGAGATTGGAAGTGCCACGGAAAGATTGATTGTAATGCTGTAGATGAAATATAAAGAGGCACGAATTAGGGAGGGAAGGGATTGTACGGTATATTTTAAAACCTCTGAAGTTAGCAGTCCTACAATGCTGCTTGAATAAAGCAAGGGCCAGCCATTTGAACAACCATCTTTTTAGCATACATAGTCCTTAAGATAATGGTTCTGTCTTACAGTGCATTGAGTGCATAAATGTAGATGATGTTTTTGTTATGTAGATGCCAGCCATGGGTAGGGGGAAATGGAAAGGTTAACTCTTTCAGTCCCTGCCACAGACCTGGGGGAGAAGGATGGGTAGATCTCTTTTCTGCTTCCCCTATTTGGATTTCAAGGAAAGTGTCCCGCCCCCCCCCGCCACACCCTTGAAATGCCTGGTAGGAGCTTCAGAGAACCAGTTTTTGTTAGGAGTGCAGCAGGATGTGGGAGAGAAGGTCCTTGGCCACGCTATCCCCAAAACATTCCAGTGGTATTTCCACTGTTGCAATTTGTATAACAAAAATAAGAGAACTGCACCCAAGCAATTGTCTAGTTTCAGAGAGTTCTTTCTAATGGGAGGGGTTTTCTCTAGCATTTGAAAAATTTCATGGAGGGAGGAGTTCTAATTTTTTTAAAAAATGCACACGGTTGTATTTAAACCTCCCGCCCCTTCATGTATGTTCCTGAAAAACATTTTTTTCCGAAAGTGAGTCAGAGCATTCAGTATTTTCTGAAAACTGCCTATAAATTTGATTTCTCTGAAGTTGAAACTCCTCAAGCTTAATTATGACTCACTAAACTCATTCATATATTTTATCTTTTTAATTGTATTTTAATTGTTGTAAGCTGCCCAGAGACCTTCGGGTAGTGTGGGCAGCATATAAGTTAAATAAATAAATAAATAAATAAATAAATAAATAAATAAATGGTTCCCCATAATTGAAAGGGTGAGTCTTCCTTTAATTTAAAGAACAACAACAAAATACTATCTGAGAATCACTGTGGTGAAACTACTTGCTATAAAGTATTGAAAAGTATATTCAAGAAAGTATATTGAAAATTAATTTTAAAAAACCCAAGTAGACATTAAAAAATTAAACCAATTTCTTAGAAAATCCAGAATATACTGCCTGATTTGTACTTGATTCCATGGAACACATTAGTGATGTGTGATTTGGGTGAGAATGAACAGTAGTCTGAAATGGAGGGGAAGCATCTTCTGCTTTAGGAATGCTTCACCGGTAGATTTATCCCATTTCTTATTATATATGGGCAGATATAGATGTACCAGTTTCTGTTGAATGTTTATCTTTTGTAAAAGAGAGGTGCTTGACAGTATTTGGTAGTCTGAACTAGAGCTGGACCTACAAGATCAGTAGGGTTTGCAAAGGGCTTGGTTCCCCATTCTGCATTCATTCTTCAGTGGATCTACTTGAGTTGAGGCTAGCATTTGGATTTGGAGGACCAGAGAGTTTTATTTCAGTATTTGTTAATTTTTAAACTGCTTTAATCATGCAAATATATTCAAAGGGAAGAATATAATTTTTAAATAATTGTTAATAGATACAAAGTAAATATACAGTGCAAAAGTCCACAGACATGGTATGTGATGAAAATAATACAGTACTCTTTTTTTCCCCGCCCCTTAGGTAGGAGAAGATTCTCGCCATTCAGGACCTCCTGTTTTGCCAAGGCCTTCAAGTACATTCAACACAGTCAGCAGAGCTCAGTACCAGGATATGGTTCCTGTGGGTAGGTGTGCCTTGTAGGATCTCTCCTGAGTAGCTGCCTTCTGTTTGCAATTTGAATGTGACAATTGCTTCTTAAGTTTAAAAGGATAACAGGTAAAGGTTAAAGGTTCCCCTTGACAATTTTTGTCCAGTCATGTTCGACTCAAGGGGGCGGCGCTCATCCCCGTTTCCAAGCCATAGAGCCAGCGTTTGTCCGAAGACAATCTTCCGTGGTCACATGGCCAGTGCGACTTAGACACGGATAAAAGGATAACAGGTTTAAATCCTACTTCTGGTCCCTGCTAGAGCAGACCTGCCGAATAGGAGGAAGTCAACACTTATGCAGATTTCTCCTGTAGTTGGAACTAGCCATTGGGATTTAAACCATGGGATTGCAATTGCTAGTTACTTTGGTTCTGGAATTATGCTTTTAAAATATGGGTGTTTTGTAAGTGAAAATAAAGGCCTGTCCACACTGCCATGTAAATTGTTATATGGTTCGCTGTTGCCGTTATTCGGATTGAACTAAATGACTGCATCCACATGTGTTTGTAGTTACAACAATTCATCTTTCCCCCTTTAAGAGCTCTCACACACCTTTCTGGTACAGCACTAAGGCATGTATTCTTTTTGGCACAATTCGGTGCGATCCAAAGTAGGTCTTTGTTTAGCCTAAGCAGACGGGCACTGTGCAACCAAATGGCACTGGAGGAGGTGTTAACTGCAGTGACAACCCTGTGACATATTAGGTAGGTTGTGGCATTGAAAGGGTGAGCGGAGAAACCCCCTCTTTTTGAAAATATTTCTCTACCTGACACAGTGAAATTCTAGTACCATGTTAGTTTGATGCATTGCCATTTTAATATGCCAGTTGCTTTATTTAACACACAGAAAAATGAAAGTTACGACCAAGAGGAAAGGCAGACAAGAGGTCTATGTTGACTCCATGGACTCTGCCCTCATAAGGCAGTGCAGCCCCAGCAGAGCCCTGACTGGGGAGAAAGGTGGGGGGAAAGGTGGTGCTTCCTCCCTTCTGTCTCCCCAATTTTCACCCCAACATTTTCTTCTCGCACTGCAGCTGTCCTCAGCTGCTGTTGCTGCTGCCTCCTTACTCGTTAGTAAACTGGGTAAATGTACACATGAGTAAAGCAGATAAGCCTTGTTTCCTAGTAAACTGGGCAAGCCTTGCTCTGTGTGGACCTGTAGCATTATTTTTTATTTTATATCCCGCCTATCTAGTCAACTCAGGACTACTCTAGGCGGCTAACAATCAACAATCAACAAATAATAAACATAAACATATATAAAACAAAATAGATAATAAAAACCTTACAAAGATAGAAAACCAGAAGAGAACCCATAGCACAATTTCCATTGTCGGCAGAGAAGGATCGCTCAAGTGAGAGTTAAAAGAGATCTCACTTAAGATAAGGACCTTTTAAGCATGGACTGGGCCGCACCAAATTTCCCAGTGTGGGCAGGCCGTAAGAATAACTAAATGTCTATTGTCCCTAGGCTACATATGTAATGGGAGACTATATATATGGATCTGCCATGATCACATGTTTACTTGGGGTGAATTCTAGGTATTAAATATGGCAACAACATATTTGTTATGATATGGCAACAACAGTTTTGCAAGATCAGTGTGATCTGGGAGCCTTTCACTGAGGTCTACAGCAGGAGCTTGCCTCTAAACCATTTGGCTGTGGGAGCTATGCCCGCTCCCACCCACTCAGCCCAAAACAGGGAGACTTAAAAGAAGCAAGTAATTCTAACTAGTTTTGTTCTGGAATTAATACGTATTGTTTTGGGGAAAAAATAGGTAGTTCATAAGTGAAGATAGGAATAATTTAAAGCCCAACAGGCCTGGCCAGTTCTGAGTTCTGTAACGGAAGACTCTGTGTACGACTGTGCCGTGATCATATGTTTACCTCGGGTGGACCCTTGATTAAATGTCATGACAGGGTGGCAATGATTTTGACAAGTAACCCCTTGCCAGAACGTTGTCACCTAGGAGCCTTTCACTGAAGTCTGAACTGGAGCTTGTTATTGTGGTTTTCTATTAGTGACTCTTTTTTGGTCTTAGAAAATTAGCCTACATTTCTTGGGCTTGCCAAGCGTCTAGTATTTCACAAAACCACCTAAGCTGGGTGCCATTCAGTGACTATTTAGCAGGGGTTACTTAGCACCCTTGTTAGTATGAGATAGAATGAGATGATAGGATAAAGCTGACAAAGTAAGCTGCAGATGCCTCCAAGCTGTTTGACTGTGGGATCTGTGCCAGTTCACACCCACTAAACCCAACAGAAGAACTTTAAAGAAGCAAGTGGGAGTCTAGGTAGGCAGGATTAAAGGTGAGTTTCTTGCTCTGTACTGAACGCATTCCTACATGCGGGAAGGCAAAAGCTCGCCGGGACATTTTTGTTTTTGTTTTAGCTTACACACAGCAGAGCCCATAGTGTAAAGACTATCTTTTGAAAGCTGTTTATGGCAGGATGTTGCTGTGGAGTGTCTATGTTGCTTTTAAAAAAGGAAAACAAAAACAGTGGGGCTTCTTGCGTTTCCAGCAAGCGGTAGGTAAGTCGTCTTAGGCAACACATAAATGAATGTTGAGCAAAGATGTGTTAGTGAACACATGCATACCCTTTATCTTGAGCAACACTATCTCCCTGAGCATTGACCAAGTCAGAAAAAAAAGTAAGACCTCTCCTGCCCTTGGGCTGGCAGTCTTAAAAAAAGACTGGGCAGCATGACCATCCAGATAGGTCCATCCAGCTATACTTAAACCCCTTCCAGAGGGTCCCGCTCCTGCATCTCCAAAAGTTTGCAGTGTGGCACCAAAATCTTCCAGGTGTACAAGCCGACTTCAATTCAAAGCTCATGCTAAAATATATATATATACATGCATTCCCCATGGAGTAAGTTTTATAAAGGGGTGCATGCCCCTCCCATTCCACTAATTTTCAGTAGCAGGACGTAGGAGGCTCCTATAAGTGGGAGGATGGCATTATAGCCCTAAAGTGTTGCCCACCCCTTGTGTGAAAAAGACACAACTGAACAGGAAGACAAAAGGGGAATCAAACAGTTCTGGCCCTGGTTCTTAATATTATATGAATATTAATGTCAAGATTCAAATGAGACATCCCACTGTTGGGTATTCTGTACCTGCCAACCGTGGTGAACAGCAACAGTGAACATAACTGGAAAAAATGCAGCTGTTTCATAAGAAAGGTTTTTCTAGATCTAAACTCTTGTATGTTGTGCCTGTGTTATGTTTGATTATGTAAGTTAAGAACAGTTTGTAAGTTTAAGGATTGGCTTGTTTTTTCTATATCAGTGTTACTTTATAATGGGTTAAGTTGTCTTGGAAACTGCTTGTGTGCTTCACTTTTCCTTACACATGGCAAAACACATTGGCTTCAGTTACAGCGGATTCATGGCTTTCAAGAACAGAAGTTTATTCACTGAGTTTAGCAGCTGTCCCATTGTGTGGAAGACACCCACCACCAATTAACCTGATGAAGTGGCTAGTTGTTTGTTCAGCAGCACTGTTTCTTGACAGTTGCTGCTGATTTAAACTTCTGTTGCTGCCTGTTTTCTTCAATGAAGCTTTTACTACTGCTCTGAAGAGCCTGTTCTTATAAACCAGCTATGGAATGGCCACTAGGCCTTCTCCTCAGGTTCTCTCTCTCTCTCTCTCTCTGTTTGTGTGTGTGTGAGTGAGTGAGAGAGAGAGAGAGAGAGAGAGAGAGAGATAATAGGAGAGACAGTTCCATTTCTTTAAAAATACTAAGTTTAGATCATGTGGGATTTCTTCAGCACTCAAGCAGGTAAATGGAGTTGCTTTGTAAACTGTGGTTTTTACAACAGCAAGCCCTGTTGTCACGTGTGTTTGCCTGTGGGTTGGGCCCCTGTGATAATGTCATGGCTGTTAGATGTTGCTCATGACAGCATTTCCAATTAAGTCACAAGTCAGGAATGTAGGAAGCTTGTCATTACAGAGTCCAATGAATCTGGTCTAATGCCGAGTACTGTCAACTCTGGATGGCTGTGAGTCTCCAGAAAGTTTTCTCCTCTAACCCTATTTGGTGATCCTTGGTATTTCCTCATGGTCTAGGCCCAAGACAGCTTAGCTTGCAAAATCAGAAGAGTTCAGGTGTAATCAGAATGAGGTGGCAGTATATTTTCTCCACTCTCCTGCCTGGCCAGTTTGAATTGTCAAACAGTTTGGAATAGCATCTACAGTACTGTACTCTTTTAGCTAGCATTTGCAAAGTGTCAAAAACAAGTAAAATTGAACCCCCTTCACTCCCCACCCCACACAGAAAAGCCCTTTCTGCTGGAAAGGCATCCATTTCTGGTTAAAGTGGGGCTTGGCATCTAAAACTTGTGAAGCAAGTCAGCTATGTTCAGCGTGATGTTCTCTGTTGAATTTCAGCATACAATGACAAGATTGTTGCATTTCTGCGGCAGCCCAATATCTTTGAAATTCTACAGGAGCGACAGCCAGATCTGACTAGGAATCATTCACTCAGGTGAGCATGGGACTGATCTCTCTTCTCCACCACAAAAAGTTTTTAGTTGTGCTTTTTTTGGTATGAGCAAAGTACAGCAGGCCTTATTTTAGGTGACCATATATAGTTGGGATTCAAACCTAGAAATAATAGTTAGGGGTTTTATTACTATTTGCACACATGTCAACTTGATGCAATGTTTCCTCTCCCTGGTGTGGAAGCAAGGAGGAGGTCAAAAGCTTTCTCTTGTTTATTTTTGTGTTGTATCTCAGTTATGGCTAAACTTAAGAATTATTTGTTGGAACAAGGCACAAAGTCTTAAATTTTGCTTTGGAGGAGGTAGCCGTGTTAGTCTGTGTAAGCATATCTGGTAAAATCCAAAGAAACAAGACAAGACAAGACAAAGGCATTTGGCACCTTAAAAACTATTATATTTTAATGTGAGCTATCGTGGATATTTCCACTTTGTCAGACTTATGGAAACAGGATGAAATGTTGAATTAAATATCAGTTTCATATTAAATATTCATTGGCTCTTGGGTGGATGGTACATTTAGATGTGGTAATTTGTCTTATGTTGTTTTAGGGCTCAGTTGTAAAAATTTCCCAGAAAACAGACACCACGCCTGGGCAATGATGTATTATTGATTTGTAATCATGCTGTTCTAAAATGGCGACTTTACAATCTTCCACAGAGTATACTGGTAGATCAAAATGGTTGGAGACAGGTTTCCAACCATTTCAGTCTTCCAGGACACTCCATGGAAGATTTGAAAGTCACAATTTTAGTACAGAATCATTACAAATCAAGAATACAAAGGGAAACTGCTGAGTTAAAATTTACATGCACAATGGACATCCATATAAATGGACTGAATATAAGCCTAGGTTTCTTAAGTTATTCCCAAATGTAATACTTCTACTTTTGTCTACTTTCACTGTTATTTTCTTCTCAACTACCAAGCCCATCTCTCAGAACAAGACTTGAAGGTAAAAAACTGTCAATATTCCCTACATTAATACATGGAATTTGTTTGCCATATTCTTTCACCTTTATATCTAATATTCTTTCTTTCTCTCTCTCTCTCTCTCTCTCTCTCTCTCTTGAATTTTAAGTGAATCCCTAGTCTTCAAACCCTCCTCCCCATCCCTGCTCTCTCTTCTCTCCCTGCATCTATGTCCAGTCTTAAAGTTTGTTTTCTGTCTCCTGAGGAATTTTCACAACAGAGCCTTAAAACAACATAAGCCAAATATCGCATCTAAATGTACCATACACCCAGGAGCCAATGAATATTTATCATGAAACTGATATTTTATTCAACATTTCATTCTGTTTCCGTAAGTCTGATGAAGTGGACATGCCCATGAAAGCTGACATTACAATATAATAGTTAGTCTTTAAGGTACCACATGTTTTTGTCTTTGTTTTGTTTTGTTTCTTCGGATTTTGCCTGTTAAACATTGCTTGTTTCAGTAAGCCCTAATTAAGTCAAGCTAGAGTTTGTCCAGGCTTGAACATAGTGCTAAACTGTGGTTAGTGAAAAGTTTAAATGAAAAACTCTGCTCCCGTTGCAGCTGCACCTGAGCAAAGGGGCAAGAAGAAGGATTTTTATAAACAATTATAGTCATCTGTGTTCTTAAGTCTGAATGCAGCCATGATTATTCATATTTCAGGGATGGCTTTCAGGACTACAGGAAGGAATAAAAATGAAGGGGTGTTTATATCAGGGTTTTTGTTTCATTTCAAATACAGTGAGCAACTGATGAGTACTGTGAAAATTACCTAGGCGCTGTCAAGACTCTGAATCCGAAGTGCTCTGTATAGTAGAGCAAGGCTAGAGTGCAAGCCAACCCTCGAAGTTGATGTGCCCCCACTCTCTCTTGTCCTCTTCACAGTCAGAGAGAGGAGCATCTCAGGCCTTTCACAACCAGCCATTTTTCTCACAGGGGCTTTGAAATAAATAAATAATCCTAAGCCAAATAACTGAAGTAGTCAAGGTTATTGCTCTTAGATCCAGGTATCTGAACTGGGAAATTTATTCTCTGCAAAGCTCTAAAGAGATCATTTTATTAATAGGAAAAAGAAAGCCAATGTTACAATACAAAGACTACAATGCAGAGAATCGGTCTCAGAGAACCAGAAGTGTAAGTGAGTGCAAGGCAAAAGCATACCTACAGTGTGGAGCAAAAGCATAACAGAACATACCATGAAGCCTGAAGTAGAAGAATGAAAAGTATAATTAAACAGCAAAGTTAACATTTTCATAGTAAAATTTCTCAGTTGCTTTCAGTTGACCAATCAGACAAGTCAGAAGGTTCTAACATTTGCCTAGAACAGGGGTCTCCAAAGTATGGCCCGTGGGCCACATCCGGCCTGGCTTGCCTTTTTATCTGGCCCGGGTGGGCAGACGGGCATGTGTATGTGAAGGAAGGCGTGAGTGCGGGCATGCAGGTGTGCGCAGATGCACATACATGCACATTCCTCTGGCTCTCAAAAATGTGGAAAATATATTATGTGACCCTCACGGCGAAAAGTTTGGAGACCCCTGGCCTAGAACATTAGCATTGCTTCTTCGTATGGCACTTAAATTCCTCTTAAGGGACCCATCTGAAGTTGCTACACTAACAATCCTATTCAAGGATGCTTCAAACATAGAAGCAAACCCATAGGTGCACCTAAGCTCATCCTGACCCTGACTAACAAGCCTGCAGGCTAGAATGTAGGACCCCAAGAAGCCCAGGCAGCCTAAAGGTGTCAAACACAAAAGAGGTTCCTTGACAGACCAAACCAAAATAGAGTTTATGCAACTTTGTTGAAAGTAGTGTTTGTAATAGACTCTTTTTTTTTAGTATCTCTATGCTAAAACAACAGCTTTAACTGTGGAGGACAGAGTAAGATTATTCTCAAAATGTAGCATAGAACAGAAGGCAAGATAGGGGAGCCCCAGCCATCTCTTCAATAACACATAGAAGAACATTCAGTGGTTGCGACTCCATCAAGCCAGCAGTCAGCAGGGGCATCTGTCACACTGGTCTCTGATGAGAGAAGAAGGAAGAGTGAAAGCAATTTTAGCTACACGAGTCTCTTTTGGCCCCATTAATTCATTTTGAAATATTAAAAGTGTGAGGAATAGTGCCAGTGCAGCACTAAAAGGTGATCAACGAAACAAAGGGAAGTCCTGGGTGTGTCTGCATGAAGCCTGTACTTATAAAGAGGAGTGGCTTGGCCTTCAAAAGCAAAACAGAAAACAGCTTGGAACAGTTAATTTACTGGATACCAAAACAGTGTAAATGTCTATTAAAACTGCTGATGGAAGGGAATTATCAGGTTACATTCATATTTAAAAACAAGTTTAAGGAGCTGGTAAAAAATGCACAGAAGGACAATACCTTTTAGACTTAAACACATGGAAGATTAACAAATCTAGTACAGCATAATAAATATGCACTTAGTAGAACTTTGAAACAAATGATCTTAAATGGCTGCTGATGCTGGTAATTTACTGGCTCCCAAAAAGACCTCAAAATAACCAGTTGGATGAAACATGTTGGACTGTTTTTAAGAAGCAAAAAATCATTTTCTCTCCAACCTCAGGATTCCATGTTTTCTTGCATATTAGGTTTCACAGGATGTTTCCATTTACTTTTGTTAGAACTTTTTGTGGTCTAGAGGCCACTTCTTCAGACGGACCTGGCCCACAGAACACGTATGCTCTAAAATATTGATCAGTCTTTAAGTTCTACGGAGTTTTTGCTGGTTTTGCTGAAACAGACTTGCACGGCAGTATCAAATCTGATGCAGCTCTTGGCTTAGATAGAACCATCTATGTGTTAGAAAATTGTTCTTATCTTAGAGTAAGATGCTCTCAGCATTTGGGGCAGAGCGAAGGCCAGAATGACAGAGAGGGTTTAGCAGAATATGTGTCAGTGCTTTCTTGTAAGTCTTCTCTGCATCTTGCAAAGCGAAATTTCCAGGATTCTCTTGATATTTGTGCTGTGTTTTAGGGGAGCAGGTGTACATATTTAAAACCGTTCTGTTTTGGAATAGCAATATCCTCTTCCAGGGCTCCTGCTGCTGCTTGGAATTCAAGGCCACAACTAGCATTAACTTGAAGGATTGATTCTCATTGGTCGGCTACCTTGAAGCAGCTTGAGCATCTGAGAGATGAAGGCAACAGGCAAAAAAGAAGCCATTCTTCCGAATATATTATTTAGGGGGGTGGGGGTTAGATGGATGAGGACTGATTGCTAGATTCTTCTTTTCATTCAGACATGGTGTGGCAAGTTGGACAATGGTGTCTGAAATACAGAGGGATAATCTAGAGGTCTACTTGATCTACCCAGTGTTTTTTCTTGCGGTCTTGGTATATATTAGTGTCTTATTTGCAAGAGACATTTTGGAGTACATTGTCTGCATCAACAGGGAGAAGATCCAGTTTATTCGGACTGAAGGAACTCCAGGGCTGGTGCGTTTATCCAGTGATGCAGACCTTGTCATGTTGCTAAGGTAAGTGGCAGTTTTCTGCAGTGAATTCCTTATACAAGATGCCTTTTTGTCAAAATGGCACATTGCTCTGCACTGATAACAGTGACCTTCGTCATCTCACCTTTCTTGGAAATGCAGCCAGGGGAACAGCGGCAGAGAATGCAAACGATGGGATTATTCATGCTAAATTTTAAAATGCCAGTTTACTTTCCATCAAGGATGGATGAATGGATGGAAATACATACATAGACACATGCACACATATCTTTTTCTGTCTGTATATATACACACACACGTGTGTGTGTGTGTGTGTGTGTGCGCGTGTGCATGTGCGTGTGCGTGTGCATGCGCGGGCACATGTCTCTTCAATCCGTCCTAAATAGCAGCCCAGTTGCATATGTAACGTCTCGTTATGTGATATTAAAAAATGGAAATAGAAAAATGGTCACATTAACATTTTTGCATATCTACGTAAATATCCACATATTGATTATGCCTGAGTGTCCTGAGTGCACTTCATCATTCTTAACCCATTAATTATTTGTTTTCCCACAAAGTTTTCACTTCTTCTGAAATTCCTTGTGTGAGGTTCACCTTTTCTGTCCAGCCCAACCCTTAAATCAGTCTTAAAGAGCGACTCAGTTGCATGACTGAAGTCACCACCTGCTGGAAGTGGAACAAAAGCATTCAAGGAAGTGGCTGAGGGGGTTGGGGCAGGGATCAAGAGCAAGCTGGACGCTGGCCTCAAAGAAAACGGAGTGTGTATGTGTTGTTTTTCAAAACTGGGGATGGCTACATTGGCACAGCTGCAGGCTAGCGATGCGTGCAAAGGTGAGTTGCTCCCAAGAAAGTGAAGGGTAGGAGTGACGGGAGACTGCTAGAGGAGAAGAGGGTGGGCAGCTGAAGAGGAGGAGGCAGAACGTAAGCAGTAATAACTTGTGGAGAGAAATATGTTGGATGGGAACAAAGAAATGTTACACAATAAGATGATGGTGATGATGATGATTGATGATGATGGTGATGATGATGAATGGCTCCAAGGATGTGCTGTTCTGCAAACTGTGCACCTTCCTTGGAGGAAGACCTCCTGCTACTACTGCTACTTCTTCTTCTTCTGTTGTTTCTCTGTTGAATTTTAGAGTGTACAGTAGTTTCCTTAAGACAGCATTTTGCTCTCCTGCACTCTTAAAGTAGGATAGTGATACTAATGATAATAGGGGTGCTGTTGCTGCCATCTAACAGATTGGTGGGGGGAAATCCCTGATGCGAATGTATCCTTGGTACCATCATTTCTTTTTCTGACTGCAATTAGAAATGTATATGTGCCCAATGAAGTCCTTTGAAGGTGTGTGTGTGTTTGTTGTGTTTATGTGTGGAAAAGCTGAAGTTCTTTTTTTTAACTGCTGTATTTCCCATTCTCCCACTATGTGCTTAGCATTTACACATTAGATTTCACATATGCATAGGGCTCAGGACGTTGAATTAAATAATGTGTACACCACATAATCAGACTCCCTTCAAGACTGCACCTGCCTGTACATTATAGCCTTTTCTATAGACCTTATATCCAAAGCATGTAAATTTGGTGTGCTGAGAAGGTGGAACTGGCAGGAATGATTATGCCTGGTGGATAATTTGCATCCAAGATGGTATGCATAGGTTTCCTGTCTGCCAGAACTGACTTTTTCCTGTCATCAGATCGTGTTGATTGTTTATGCCAGCCATAAGTGCAATGATGTCAGTCAGTGGTAAATTACCGCTAGTTGATGAATCACTACTTGTATTTGTTGTTATGCACTAGTTACATCACAAGAAACAAAAGCAGTGACTCCTCAACTATTACCAATTTGCTGATGTAGTTTTACATAATTGCATTTATACCACTTTAATTCACTGCTTTTTCCTAGCAGAATGTAACCTCTGATCCACTGTGGCCCTGAAGAAGTTTAACAGAACAGCACTAGATGTTCTTTGGCTTCAAGACATTGCAACTTATTGTTCTTACACTGTCAATTATGTCAATGCTAAACTGGGTTGAATTTATATATTATTTTGGTAGCTGAATGTCTTGGATTATTAATAACAAATACTGTATGAATACTAAATTCAGTCTGTGATTATTTTAGGTGAACATTCAATGTGTGATTATTGCTTTCTCTCAGGAATAATATTAAACCTAAACTTAAAAAAAGAGTGCCCCATGTTTTTTTTCTCTCTGAAGGCAACAGCTCAATATACGTGTACTGTAGTTGTCTTTTTACACCAGTTGTGTAAGAGGTATTTTATTCACCACCTGCTTGTGAATTCTTATGTCCCATTGTTCTCAATGGGGTAAATTCCAGCTTGTAATCACAAACCAGAGATTGCAGAGCAAGCGCAGAGCGTTCCACCCATGGAGCTGTTGCACACCATGATTGCTAATAGGGTTCTTGGCCAGTGATTCCATTAGCAATAAAGTAGTGGCGGCCTTTATTTTTCCATATTTAGAGGAGTGAAAGAGAGCACTTTTCTTCTGTATTTGAAATAACAATCGGCTCTGGCCTGATATAAAATTGCTCATCTGTTAGACATCTGTGATTGATTCTCATTTTTATTGAGGTCTATCTCAGTGGTTCCCAAACTTGGGTAACCCAAATGTTATTGGGTTGCAACTCCCAGAAACCCCAAGCAGGACATCAAGTGGTGAAGGCTCCTGGGGGTTGCAGTCCAAGAACACCTGAGTTACCTGAGGTTGGGTACCATGAGTCTAACATCATTTTGTTTTTCACTAATATGGTGGCTTGGATCCTGGGCACCCGTAAGCAAAACTCACCCCATGTCACCCTCCCACCTTGTGCTCCTTCTGTTAGTTCCAAAGGACTGGGAAAGCCCGGCCATGGAAGTATCATGGGTGGTGATGGGGATGGGTGGGAGAAATTTGCCCTCTGCAAGCAGGATTCTTCAGTGAACATCGGGATTCTTCCAGTGGCCTGGTGATATTTTGTGATATAGCTGTTTCCAGCTAGAGTGACTGGAAGCCAAGACATGACAGGCTGGAAGACAGCACTTAACTCTCTTCCCAGTCATCCATCCACCAGCTAATTTTTTCTTCTTCACAGGTTTCAGATGCACTTTGGCAACCATTTCAGGGAAGCCAGTTTGTCATTAGAGGGGACTGCCAAAAAAAGTAGTGCTCAAAGAAACATGCAAGTCTGCTGGTTTTCATTTGTTCTTATTTTCCTCCTAGTTTATTTGAAGAGGAGATAATGTCATATGTACCACCGCATGCCTTACTTCATCCCAGTTATTGCCAGTCGCCACGAGGCTCCCCAGTGTCTTCCCCACAAAACTCTCCAGGTGAGTCCGGTTGCATTGGCCAGCAAGGAATTTAAAGAGTAAACCAGGTACGAGCTTTTCCCACCGATGTTCATAGCATTCCTCCAGAAAAAAAGAAGAAGCTGAATGCTTCTGCAGTTCAGACCATACTGACTCCGTATTCTGTATTGTTAGTATCTGCAGACAAGTGAATCGCTTTTCTCAAAAGCATTTTCTTCTTAAGACATGAACATATTTGCAGCTGGTGGTATTCTGAACACATTAAGAGTTTTTAACTTTAATGACCAGCATTATTAACGTTTTATTTTTCTGTTAGTAGTACTGGAAAGATTAAAGAAGCAGAGGTTGTTAAGAACTATTTAAAAATCTTCCTTATATTTAAGAAATCTTAAATTTTGACTGAAATATATTTGTTCCCCATAGGCAAAGGTTGGTTGTCTTGACGGGTGGGCCCAAGTGTATTGGTAAATCCATCAGGGGACATGGATATCAATGGATACGGAGGAAGGCAGGTGACAAATCAGTAAAGCCTCCTGTTGATAGGGGTGTTAGGTTAGCTGTTCCCCGTGTGTTACAGCATGTGAGCAGGAATAATTTTTCTTTCTTCCTTTAATACACTTTTCTGTCTTGACATAATTCTGAGAATGGAATCCTACTACAAGGAATCCTTTGTGAGTGTGGTAGATTCTGCTGGGGCTTAATGCCACTGGTTTCCTCTTGATGAATGAGAAAAAGTTGTCTGGGTTATTTCTTACATAATTGGGATGAGGATGTGGACTTGAATGTGAATGATTCATAAATCACTGGATCCATGTACTGTTGTTTCTTCTTAGAGAACTTTGTCTGGCTGTCAAGGACCAAAGTCAATGTGTTGAATGTTGACCATAGACTTCAGTAGCTGTACAATTACTCCTTATTTGTCCCTAAGGAGTAACACAGGGAGAGAGAGACATGCATGAAGTCTATACATTTCATAAATAACCCTTCTATTATTTTATTATTCTTAGGGGATTATTCTAATTGCCCCGGAAATTATTTGGCAGTGACAAATGAGTTTTAGTAAGAGCATGCCATGTGCTGAGAGAATAATTTTGTAGGTTTTTTTAATGAAATGTGAGGCAATGTGTTCAAAAGTTAGTTGTCATATTGAGTTGTTAAGCAGTTCTTCAATAACACCAGTACAAGTAAGAACTAGTTAAAGGCGTTCAGGGCACTCACACATGTCAACCATCTTCAACAAAATGGTAGGTCTTATTACTCTTGTCACAGTGCATTTGTATGTGTTAGTACAACATATTCTCAGAATTAAGTTAGACTGAAAATGCATTGAAGGAAAGAAGTACAATGATTGCAGCTCATATGCTTTAGCACAATAGGAACAGAAATAAAATATGGAATGTGACTAGGTATAATAGCTAGCTTGAGTGGGTGCAGTAGCATTGTGTACCATCAGTCTAGGGATCAGATTCCTTCCCCACAGATCAGCTGGAGTCTGCACACAACCACCATTACTGCTGTGTTTACAACAATAGTAACAATTAGCTCCCCCACCCCTTACATCAAAACAAAATGCAGGAATATGTGCACCTTGTTTCTCAGTCTAATATTTTTATTCAGCATTTTTAAAAAAATATTTTAACTTCGCCTTTCTCCTTAAAAAGGACCCAAACTAACATTTTTAATCAGCATTTTTTAAAAAATATTTTAACTCTCCTTAAAAAGGACCCAAGGCTTACATCATTAAAAAATATATTAAAAGCTAAAAGTAGTAAATTATTCAAATATTTAGCTGTCGAGCAGTGTAGATATTCAAACAGGCTTTGGCCATCACATTTTTAAAAAAATCATTGATTCTTGTTTTCGTATTTATTATAAGCAACTCCAAAAACTTTCTTTTACGGGGTATAAATGTTTTAAATTAGTTAATGCACTGGGAAGTATAAGTGGAGATTTCTGATCACAGTTTTCTATTACACTATTTTTAATCTTTTTGACAATAATGAAATACCTCAGGCTCAAGGGTTGTTTTTTCCCTAAGAGATTGCTACATCTGGACTGTAATGAGAATCACAGCCATTGTTATGGCACATAAAATAAAAATGTCAAATGTTTTTGGAAACCAAAAATAGTGTTGTTCTCAAGTAGTTGACAAAACCACTTTCATTTTCTTTTTCCTTGTCTTTTGGTTCCATTGTGCCAACCAGACTGAGGTTAATTGCCTTCTTTGTTGACACACTAGCAAGACTATGATCTGCTTGTGTCTTCTGGGGTCTTGTAAATGGAGTTTTAGTTTATCAGCAGTTCTCTGACCTAGAGCTTCTGGAGTACTTTTGTATCACAAGTATTAAGGACAGCCATAATATTATGTCACACTTTTCTGATTTGGATAGTATGTACTGTGTGGTTGCTCACCAGTTGTAAACATTGGGGTGGTATGAAGCACTGTGGGAGCATCTCACCATCAGAAGCAAAGTTACCCTGAAAGCTGAGGTAGTGGGTTTTTGACTACCCAAAAAAGAGCAGCCATCATGAAAAGAATTTTTCTGGGTAAGAAGGAAGGTTATGCCTGGTGGGAAATGTCTTGAAAAGTCAGGTTTGTAAAAGGGAGTTAGAGGTTAGTGAGATGTTATTGAAGCCAGAAACTTGTTGTGTGAATATATCTTTTTTCAAATTGGCAAAATACTGGTTAGGATTGTCAGAATTGACTTGACAGCATGTGAGTACAGTAGTAATCTCTCACATGGGGTGGATGTTCCTGAAAGCCTCTTCAAATAAGTTCCATTTTAACATGTTTCCTGAAGGATAGAAGGGAGGAGTCTTGGCAGAGGTCCATCAGCAGTAAGTGCCAGAATCTTGTGACGACCACCAAGAAGAGTCCCAGTTCCTTGTAGTCATTTTCTGGGCCTCCCTTTCCAGGGAGTCTTCTCTTCTCATGAGATGGCCAAAGGATTGGAGCCTCAGCTTCAGGATCTGTCCTTCCAGTGAGCACTCAGGCTTGATTTCCTTCAGAACGGATAGGTTTGTTCTCCTTGCAGTCCAGGGAACTCTCAAGAGTCTCCTCCAGCACCACAATTCAAAAGCATCAATTCTTCGGTGGTCAGCCTTCTTTATGGTCCAGCTCTCACTTCCATACATCGCTATTGGAAAAACCATATGACTATGCAGACCTTTGTTGTCAAGGTGATGTCTCTGCTTTTTAAGATGCTGTCTAGGTTTCTCATTGCTTTCCTCCCAAGAAGCAGGCATCTTTTAATTTCGTGGCTGCTGTCACCATCTGCAGTGATCATGGAGCCTGAGAAGGTAAAATCTGTCACTGCCTCCATATCTTCCCCTTCTGTTTGCCAGGAGCTGATGGGGCCAGTGACCATGATCTTAGTTTTATTGATGTTGAGCTTCAGACCATTTTTTTGTGCTCTCCATTTTCAACCTCATTAAGAGGTTAATTCCTCCTTATTTTCTGGCATCAGAGTGGTATCATCTGCGTATCTGAGGTTGCTGATATTTCTTCTGGCAATCTTAATTCCGGTTTGGGATTCGTCCAGTCCAGCCTTTCACATGATGTATTCTGCATATAAGTTAAATAAGCAGGGAGACAATATACAGCCTTGTTGTACTCCTTTCCAAATTTTGAACCAATCATTTGTTCCATATCCAGTTCAAACTATTGCTTCCTGCCCCACATATAGATTTCTCAGGAGGTAGATAAGGTGGTCAGGCACTCCCATTTCTTTAAGAACCTGCCATAGTTTGCTGTGGTCACACATCTTTCTGGTATAATTCCTGTGTGTATTCTTGCCACCTCTTCTTGATGTCTTCTGCTTCTGTTAGGTCCCTGCCATTTTTGTCCTTTATCATGTCCATCTTTGCACAAAATATTCCTTTAATATCTTCAATTTCCTTGAACAGATCTCTGGTTTTTCCCTTTCTATTATTTTCTTCTATATCTTTGCACTGTTCATTTAAGAAGGCTCTCTTATATCTCCTTGCTATTTCCCTTCTCTTCTCTGCTATTTGTAAGGTCTCATTGGACAGCCACTTTGATTTCTTGCATTTCCATTTCTTTGGGATGGTTTTTGTTGCTGCCTCCTGTACAGTGTTACGAGCCTCCATCCAAAGTTCTTCAGGCACTCTGTCCACCAAATCTAGTTCCTTAAATCTGTTCTTCATTTCCACTGTGTATTCATAAGGGATTTAGTTTAGATTATACCTGAGTGGCCCAATGGTTTTTCATATTTTCTTCAGTTTAAGCTTGATTTTTGCTATGAGAAGCTGATGATCAGAGCCACAATCACTCCAGGTCTTGTTTTTACTGACTGTATAGAGTTTCTCCATCCTTGGTTTCAGAGAATATGTTCAATCTGATTTCGGTATTGCCCATCTGGTGATGTCCATGTGTAGAGTCGCCTCTTGTGTTGTTGGAAAGAGTGTTAGTGCTGACCAGCTTGTTCTTTTGACAAAACTCTATTAGCCTTTGCCCTGCTTCATTTTGAACTCCAAGGCCAAACCTACCTATTGTTCCTTTTATCTCTTGACTCCTTACTTTAGCATTCCAATCCCCTAGAATGAGAAGAACATCTTTCTTTGGTGTCAGTTCTAGAAGATGTTGTAAGTCTTCATAGAATTGGTCAATTTCCGCGTCTTCAGCATCAGTGGTTGGTGCATTAACTTGGATTACTCTGATGTTGAAAGGTCTGCCTTGGATTCGTATTGAAGTCATTCTATTATTTTAGAGATTGTATCCCAGTACAACTTTTCCCACTCTTCTGTTGACTATGAAGGCTACTCCCTTTCTTCTACGGGATTCTTGTCCACAATAATAGATATGGTAATCATCTGAATTGAATTCGCCCATTCCCGTCCATTTTAGTTCACTGACGCCCAGGATGTCAATGGTTATTCTTGCCATCTCCTGTTTGACCACATCCAGCTTCCCAAGGTTCATAGATCTTACATTCCAGGTTCCTATGCAGTATTTTTCTTTGCAGCATTGGACTTTCCTTTCACTTCCAGGCACGTCCACAGCTGAGCATCCTCTGCCCGTCTTGGGTGTCCCTGTACAGCATAGCCCATAGCTTCTCTGAATTACTCAAGCCTCTTCGCCACGACAAGGCAGCAATTCCTGAAGGGGACAATCTCTTATTACTGTTACTGAAATGATAGTACATGTTGTCTAACTGTACATGGACGCCAAAGAGACCCTAGTTATTTTGATTAAAATAGTCATAAAACACTTATGTCATTTTTTTCCACCAGTGCAGCCCTACCTGGACAGGAAATCCCTGACTACACTTGCTAATGCACTGGCTATCGTGAGGATTGATTACTGCAATACACTCTACATAAGGCTGCCTTTTAAGGCAATACGGAAACTACAGCAGGTGCAAAATGCAGCAGCCAGGTTGATTTCAGGAGCTTCTAAATATGACGACATCTCCCCAATTCTAGCAAACTTGCATTGGCTCCTGGTCCGCTTCCATGCCAAATCCAAGAATCTAAGACTAATTTATAAGGCTCTAAACAGTTGGGAACTTAAGTACTCTCCCTAAGATCTTCTACCTGCAACATAGGATCAGGAAAAGACCCTGATGTTGTGAAAGTGTGAAGGCAAGAGGAGACGGGAATGACAGAGGACGAGATAGTTGGACAGTGTCATCGAAGTGACCAACATGAATTTGACCCAACTCTGGGAGGCAGTGGAAGACAGGAGGGCCTGGTGTGCTCTGGTCCATGGGGTCACAAAGAGTCGGATACGACTTAGCAACTAAACAACAATAAGAGATTGTGTATATGCATGTGTATGACTGGTACTGTAGTATATGTTACCTGGCCTGGTTGCTAGTTTTGGCAGAAAGGCAAGATATAAAAATAATGAAAATAAATTAATTCCCACAAAGCTTAGATCTTGATGCTAAGATTTTAATTAAAGTATCTTTTCCACCTTATTATTGGAGGGTGTGTGTTTTTTACACCATGTAACTGGATTAAAACACCCCATTTTAAAGATTAAGATGCCAGCCAGTGCTTCTGGCATGCAGGACTTGTTTCTCTGCAAGACATAGTTTTGAGTTGTTTCAAAGCTCTCCAAACTCTGTTTTGACCAGAGGTAGGGCAGCAGAACCAAAAGGGCTTGAGAAAGTCTCTGCCAAACCACTTTGAGCTGTTTCAAAAAACAAACAACAAAAAAAAACCCCAAACACACACAATCACACGATTGTTAAATTCAGCTAAATGGTTAAATTCAGCCACGCAGGGCTATCCTGTATAGCATGTCTATTCCAAAACAAGTCTTACTTATTTCATTGGGGTTTCATCCTTTGGAAACGTGCATAGAAGGGCAGCCTGAATTCTGTTCCTATTTTGTTCTGTTTCTATATTTCTTCCCATCGACCTCTTGTTACCAGGCAGAACTCATTAGATCTCCTTCCCTTTTCTCTTTCCATCCATCCTTACAATTTCAAAATGATATGTCATTGCTTTAAAAAAAAACCCAGTACAGAAATAGGCAAGACGTTCTATACCAGTCTGTAGAAGGAATTAACAACTAGTGGCATTACTGCTGTCAGTTTACATCTTCCTCCCCGCCCCCCAAATATTCATTCTTGCTTTTGAGCTGCTTGCTTTACATGCACATATATTATGAATAAACAAAAGGACATTCGTTTTGTGTATGAGGCTGTTACCATTCCTCAGATTTGATATTTTGGAAGTTTTGAGAATCCAGGAGTCAGAGAAGTTGTACAAAGGAACTGAATTGGGGCCAACCAGTTAGGTATTGAAGGCTTCTGTGTTTCTAATCTTTGAAATGACATAGGAAGTGGCTTCACTAAAGTTTCTCTTGCTAAGCTGTGGCTTGCTTAGCAGATTTCCTTAATAAGGTATAGCAATAAGCATCAATGCAGTGAATGTGGGTGGATGTGGCTTTTTTTGTTTCCACGCAGATATCTTTTGAGGCCTGGGGGTGAGCTTTCAAATGAATTATGGCTTTTATCACATGTTATTTTATAACAGAAGAGTAGCTGAAAGTATTTATCTTTTTGTGTAAAAGTGGCAATTTACTTATTTGTGCTTCTTAGTACTTTCACAGTTGTTTAAATCAGCATAGTTTTGATTTTTTTTTGAAAGGAACATTACTTTTGCAAGTGTAATTTCTGCACGGCTACTCAAAACTAAGCCACATAGGGGGGTTTGTAAATAGGACTGTAACATTTAATGTTTAAGAACAGCTTTTTCATGTTTGAAGCTGCAATCCTGTACGTGCTTATGTGTGAAAAAGTCCCATTCAAATTGGCTGGACTTTCTCCTGACTAGGAGAAAGTTTGCACCATAACTGTGTATGTTTCAGATGTTTATATGTATTTTAATAGTACTGTATATATTCTACTTCATTCACATAGATGTATTCAAATGCAAATCCACATTCTTCAAGCTGAACAAAGACGTTGCTTGTGAAGTTATGAATATGAAATTCAGCAGTGGAACTTATATCATTTAAGGCTGATGATCTATTCAGCTGTTGTGTTTTTGTTTGTTTTTGTTTGTTTTTAAATTTAAAATTTCTGCTGTTCCCCCCAAAGGCCTGCAGCAATCTTGGAATCCCTTTTGCCAGGAGGGGGGAACTGTTGGGTGCCATGGAATGGTGGGAGTCTTCAGTTTCCAAAAGGCACCACCACTAGGGCAATGATTTTTGGAAATTGGACTTCCCCTCATCAGGGTAGAGGAGAAATCAGAAATTTTTAACTTCTTAAAAAACCTACCATAGCTGATGACATTATCCAATTTGACTTAAGGCTTTAATGGTTTCTTTTCTCTCTCTGATCGCAAACAAAAACTTACAACACTGTGTCTGCATTAATAGGACTCAAACAGTATGTTTACACAAGCAAGATACCTTCTTTACCATTGTGTATCAACCTAGTTCATTTATGGGTCTGAAATCACAATGAGGTAGTGTTGGTTGACTTCAGATTCCTATGATTTCCCATAGTTCACCTGTATGAAAATATACAGAATGAGAACTCATACTCAAGATCTGTCAATAGTTCCTCCTCTCTGATCGCAAACAAGGACTCCTGTTTATACTCCTCTTAGCTGTGCCTTCTTTGCAAAGTATTCATTGTAACCGAAATCATAATCCTGGGAGAAAAGCAGGTTTCTACCATTACTTGGCTGGTGGTCTCCTGGTTTTCCATCTGCCCCCATATTATTCTTTCCATCTTTCTCAGTGGAGCATTTGAGAGCATCACATTTTCATTCATTTGGCCTTGAGTATTTCTAAGCTATATATGTTGTGTTTCCGATGTCGTTGCAGGTACTCAACGTGCTAATGCTCGAGCTCCAGCTCCATATAAGAGAGATTTTGAAGCCAAGCTGAGAAATTTCTACAGGAAGCTAGAGACGAAAGGCTACGGACAAGGCCCAGGGAAACTGAAGTAGGCAGAGAAACAGATTTTTTTTCCTGGGATGTCAGAAAGGGATTCATAAACAACATTAATGTTCTCTATTGAGGAATAATCATTGCAATTGTAGAACATATAACTGGCAGAACATAGTTTTGACAAACACTGCACCAGTTAGTAGCCTTTCAAGCAGGGCAGCCTTACCATCAGCTAAAGTGAAGCTACTGCCTTGGGAGAGAGATGCCATGGGGAGAGCAGGAGTAGCCTCCTGGCTGTCTCTTCTGAGTCTTCTTTCCATTCCCCTTTGTTGAACAAAGAAGCCTGTGATTCACGTCCTGTCATGGTCTCCCAAGCTACGTGGCCTGCTGCTTTTGGGATGAGGAAAGATCTGTCCCATCACCAGTACTAAATTAAGATACATCTGGAATTCTGTTTATGAAATGGAGGGTGGAGACCATCTGGTTCCTTACCTTAGTCGGCAACATTTCTTAGGCTGGCCATGCACTCAAGCATTTGGACTCTGTTGCTCTGTCCCTTCTTATCCCAGAAAGGAATTTTGGGTTGGGTTTTTCACATAACTCTTTTACTTCCTTCCACTGTGTATGTTAACGAATCTTCCGATCAGTGCTGGTTGTAAATTTGGGGATGATGTAGCATCAGTGTTTGTAGTCCAGACCTTTAAGGTGCTTCTGCCTGTACTGAACCCTGCTGGAGCATGAAACGGACAGGGACCAGCCCTGGCTGAGTTGCCTATACAGGCTTTTTTCTCTCTTAGGAGCGTGCCCATCTGTCTTGGTAGAAAATGTATCCACCCTTATCTGAAATATTTTGGAATGTTGGTGGAAGCTCGAAGAAAGTGCAAACTGAATGAATCCAAAGAAATACTTAACTGTTGTTGAACCTGTTCAGAGATTAGAATGAGTACATTGTGCAGAGATAAAGCAACTCAGGGAATCTAAATAATAACCAGGGCTGGAGGTGGGAGAACATGTCAACCACACCTTGTCATTGTCTCAATTTTGCAGATTGATAATCCGGAGAGATCATTTGCTGGAAGATGCCTTCAACCAAATCATGGGTTACTCAAGAAAAGACCTGCAAAGAAATAAACTATATGTCACCTTTGTGGGAGAGGAAGGGTGAGTAGAAAAGGGAAGTAGCCACCAATACCGTGTGCAGTTTACATTATGCTTTGCAGCTGTGCTCAGATATTCAATTGTGCTCTCTGTGGTCTAGAGTGAAAAGAGGAAGGATTATAGACAGGAAATGCTTTGTATAAACCTAGAACCAACAGCTGTTCAGAAATATTTTATCCTGTTGGCATGTGGTCTACTTGTTTGCAAAGCATCAGTTGCTGGGTGCACACATTAAATGCTTTCCATATCTGATTCATTAGAAAGGGCTCAGCCCTGCATATTTTTGGGTGCTCCCTGCTCTCACTGTAGCTAACAGAATTAAAAAAGAAAGTTGCTTCAAAGAGCTGAAATTGATGTTGCTGGAAAACCTGTACTGTTGTTGACATTTCTCACTGCTGTTGCAATAGATGCTTAGGCACCAGACAGGGAAAAGCTTGAAACAGAAGTGGAGTCCTTTGGGAATCTGAGCAGGTTAAACCTGCATTCGGACATTCTGCCTCACAGAATTACAGCTGCAAGGGGCGAGGGGAAGGAGAAGGCTGTGCTCATTGGCCCCACCCTGGCCCTGCGCCCTTTACTGCATCGGACAGTAATGTCTGAGATGGGGAGTTTGCTCCCTGTGTGTCTAGGATATCAGAGGCAGTGGTGATTCTGTCAGAACAGCTATTAAGGAGATCCCCTGATATCACTGTTCTCTCCTTACACTGTCCCGCGACTCTCCACCCTCTTGTGAAGCTGAATTTTAAACTTTCCATTTTGAAAAAAATGAAGCTCCATTGAAATGCAAAACTTTGAACTCCAGTAGTGAGAGAAAATGGTGGGCAAACAGCAAAAAGCGGTCTCTCNTTCTTTTTTATTTATTTAATATTTCGGATGCATATTTTAGTTTGAACTCTATCAAGAGGGTAAATCTCCAGCTGCCCTTTCCATCTCATTTTTCCTTGGTTTTAGGAAAAGAAAAAACCACTCATCCACTCCTCCTCCCTGTCGCCTTGCAGTAACATAGAAGCAGGATGTAATAGTCTTCACGTTGGATAAGACCTAATGTGAATGTTGTGTCAAGAAGATTGATGTTTATCATCTGGGAATGGCATGAAACCACTTCATTGGCAAAACTAAATGCTGTAGTAATGAGTAAAGTAGCTCCAGTGAAAGTATGGAATGTTCCCCATAATATAATTGGAGCAGCATGAATCTGCTTAAAGAAGTTCACAATCATACCAGTTAGCTGAAATACCCATACATTTTTCTTCTTCACTGTCTCCTTATTTAAATTACCGAATGAAACCTCTCATCTTTGAGCCTTTTTAGAAGAAAGAGGAATGACAGGGCACCTAAAAATAAAATGTCAAATTAACTTTGGAAGGAAGGCCACGGGAAACACATAATCACAGCTTCTTATTAGAAAAAAAAATTCCACTGCCCATGAATACTTACGCAAGGAGAGCAGTGAACCGCTAAGTTCTTTCTGACTGGACTTTTAGAAAGATTGTGTGATTCAAGGTACATCGAGAGGCCTCACCATTACAGTTTGCCTCACTCATACTCAAGATCTGTCAATAGTTCCTCCTCTCTGATCGCAAACAAGGACTCCTGTTTATACTCCTCTTAGCTGTGCCTTCTTTGCAAAGTATTCATTGTAACCGAAATCATAATCCTGGGAGAAAAGCAGGTTTCTACCATTACTTGGCTGGTGGTCTCCTGGTTTTCCATCTGCCCCCATATTATTCTTTCCATCTTTCTCAGTGGAGCATTTGAGAGCATCACATTTTCATTCATTTGGCCTTGAGTATTTCTAAGCTATATATGTTGTGTTTCCGATGTTGTTGCAGGTACTCAACGTGCTAATGCTCGAGCTCCAGCTCCATATAAGAGAGATTTTGAAGCCAAGCTGAGAAATTTCTACAGGAAGCTAGAGACGAAAGGCTACGGACAAGGCCCAGGGAAACTGAAGTAGGCAGAGAAACAGATTTTTTTTCCTGGGATGTCAGAAAGGGATTCATAAACAACATTAATGTTCTCTATTGAGGAATAATCATTGCAATTGCAGAACATAGTTTTGACAAACACTGCACCAGTTAGTAGCCTTTCAAGCAGGGCAGCCTTACCATCAGCTAAAGTGAAGCTACTGCCTTGGGAGAGAGATGCCATGGGGAGAGCAGGAGTAGCCTCCTGGCTGTCTCTTCTGAGTCTTCTTTCCATTCCCCTTTGTTGAACAAAGAAGCCTGTGACTTACGTCCTGTCATGGTCTCCTAAGCTACGTAGCCTGCTGCTTTTGGGATGAGGAAAGATCTGTCCCATCACCAGTACTAAATTAAGATACATCTGGAATTCTGTTTATGAAATGGAGGGTGGAGACCATCTGGTTCCTTACCTTAGTCGGCAACATTTCTTAGGCTGGCCATGCACTCAAGCATTTGGACTCTGTTGCTCTGTCCCTTCTTATCCCAGAAAGGAATTTTGGGTTGGGTTTTTCACATAACTCTTTTACTTCCTTCCACTGTGTATGTTAACGAATCTTCCGATCAGTGCTGGTTGTAAATTTGGGGATGATGTAGCATCAGTGTTTGTAGTCCAGACCTTTAAGGTGCTTCTGCCTGTACTGAACCCTGCTGGAGCATGAAACGGACAGGGACCAGCCCTGGCTGAGTTGCCTATACAGGCTTTTTTCTCCCTTAGGAGCGTGCCCATCTGTCTTGGTAGAAAATGTATCCACCCTTATCTGAAATATTTTGGAATGTTGGTGGAAGCTCGAAGAAAGTGCAAACTGAATGAATCCAAAGAAATACTTAACTGTTGTTGAACCTGTTCAGAGATTAGAATGAGTACATTGTGCAGAGATAAAGCAACTCAGGGAATCTAAATAATAACCAGGGCTGGAGGTGGGAGAACATGTCAACCACACCTTGTCATTGTCTCAATTTTGCAGATTGATAATCCGGAGAGATCATTTGCTGGAAGATGCCTTCAACCAAATCATGGGTTACTCAAGAAAAGACCTGCAAAGAAATAAACTATATGTCACCTTTGTGGGAGAGGAAGGGTGAGTAGAAAAGGGAAGTAGCCACCAATACCGTGTGCAGTTTACATTATGCTTTGCAGCTGTGCTCAGATATTCAATTGTGCTCTCTGTGGTCTAGAGTGAAAAGAGGAAGGATTATAGACAGGAAATGCTTTGTATAAACCTAGAACCAACAGCTGTTCAGAAATATTTTATCCTGTTGGCATGTGGTCTACTTGTTTGCAAAGCATCAGTTGCTGGGTGCACACATTAAATGCTTTCCATATCTGATTCATTAGAAAGGGCTCAGCCCTGCATATTTTTGGGTGCTCCCTGCTCTCACTGTAGCTAACAGAATTAAAAAAGAAAGTTGCTTCAAAGAGCTGAAATTGATGTTGCTGGAAAACCTGTACTGTTGTTGACATTTCTCACTGCTGTTGCAATAGATGCTTAGGCACCAGACAGGGAAAAGCTTGAAACAGAAGTGGAGTCCTTTGGGAATCTGAGCAGGTTAAACCTGCATTCGGACATTCTGCCCCACAGAATTACAGCTGCAAGGGGCGAGGGGAAGGAGAAGGCTGTGCTCATTGGCCCCACCCTGGCCCTGCGCCCTTTACTGCATTGGACAGTAATGTCTGAGATGGGGAGTTTGCTCCCTTTGTGTCTAGGATATCAGAGGCAGTGGTGATTCTGTCAGCACAGCTATTAAGGAGATCCCCTGATATCACTGTTCTCTCCTTACACTGTCCCGCGACTCTCCACCCTCTTGTGAAGCTGAATTTTAAACTTTCCATTTTGAAAAAAATGAAGCTCCATTGAAATGCAAAACTTTGAACTCCAGTAGTGAGAGAAAATGGTGGGCAAACAGCAAAAAGA